CAAGTCCAGGCCAGGAAATCTTTAACGTTTTACATAAATATATTGACTTGGCCATCGCACTAAATAATTTAATTTACACGTGTTTTCATGCGATGGCCAAGTCAATATTTTATGTAAAACGTTAAAGATTTCCTGGCCTGGACTTGGTATTACATGGATCTCACAACTTTTTACCGTAGAACAACTGAGTTGCGAGACTTGGTTTTTTTGACAAGTATTGTTTTTGATGGGATACCTAGAAATAAATAATAAAAAAACCAAACTAATTCAATTTAAACCACACCAAAAGAAAAAAGTTAATCTTAGTCCAGTTACAGAAAAAATAAATATTGAAGAAATAAGTGAATTTAACCTCCTTGGCATAACATTAGATACCCACTTAAATTGGAAAAAGCATGTTGAAACTGTTAAATTAAAAATATCTCAATTTCTTTATGCACTGGGTGTACTAAAAACTAATTCGTCGAAAGAATCGGCCCTCACGGCATACTACGCCTACGCGTACGCGTGGCTGCGTTACGGCATTATCATGTGGGGTCATAGCTGTGATGCTAAAGACTTATTTGTAAGCCAAAAAAAGTGTTTACGAATAATCGTTAATATAAAACAGAGAGTCAGCTGTAAACCTCATTTCATTAGAGAGAAAGTACTAACTTTACCATCCTTATACATTTTAGAAGCGGCAATGTTTGTCAGAAAACACACTTACCTATTTCAGCATGATCAAAACCCCCGACGAAAAACCAAACTTCTTCTTCCAACTCCTAATTCAGAAATGTTCAGAAATAGTCCTGCCTACCGTTGTATACAAATTTATAACAAGCTGCCTGATAATGTAAAAAATATACCTAAAGATCACTTATTCAAAGATAAATTAAAGACATTTTTAATAAGTAAAAGTTTTTATAATGTTAAAGAATTTATGGAGGAAAAACATAGTATTTCATGTTAAGTTGGTAAATAAATATTGTTTTAACTGTAATGATTATACATTATAATATTTTTAAGTTACTTGCAATTGTATGATATATTTATAAAATTTATAAGTAGGTAGACTTTAGATTTATAATAATTGTTAATAATATTTAATAATTGTTATTTGTATTGCTGTACCCAACCGGGTGTGCATTTGTATGTTAGTACCTAGTACCTAACAATATACAATGTATCTATTATGTGCAATAAATAAATAAATAAATAAATAAATAAATAACTTTATTTCAAAAGAATCATGTCGACGACTTTTACTTTCTATGACTTTGACAACAAGTCAAAAGTGGACGACTCATGTTGGCGGATCTACGGGTTTGAAGTTTAAACTGCATTAATCAAATCAAATCAAGTTTATTCAGTACATAAGCCCTACCACCACTTCAGGACAACATATGGGCTGGTGCTGAGAAGAAGTGGCGGAAGAAACTCAGTCACCTTTGTCAGCCTCTTTTTGATTAGGTTAGAACTCACATTTCAGTGATTAATACTTTTGACTCGTGTATCCCCCGGATAGTAGGTCAAATAAGTACTAACGCACTCAAGTAAAAAAAAATCTGAAAAAAGCCATAGATCTTTTTTCCAATCTTCTTGATGTACAGTCAATTCATCAGAAAGGTAAACACTCTTATGTACACCGTGCTATATTCCAACAAAATATTTACATGGTTTGATGTGTTGCTGACTAAAAAAATATGAGGCATTTATGTGAAAAAACAGTATTCATTTTCAAAACTTCATACGTAGTACACTAAACTACAAATATTGAAGTTTTTACACCTACACGCCACTCTAACCTTACATGGCCCATCACCGAATTTGTCGTGCTCACTCGACCGGCGTATTGGATCTACACAATGAATGTTTTCAACAGACTAAAGACAAAAACATAAAAGAAATCACAACCCGTTTCTGCAGGTTCGTTAAGTTAAAAAATATGTTCATACCAGTTTTCTCTGACAGATTTGTCCGGAAGAAAGTATAGAAATGAAGAGATTTCATTACACTTATTCTATTTGAAAGGCTTTATGTATTGAAGTTTCGAAATAAGTAACAATCTATTCTGAATAGCAGATTAGGACAAAATCTCTCTACACTCTTTAGAAAAACATTGGAATAGAGTCCAGATAAATTCTTTACTTTTGCTTAGCTAAAAACGCTAAAATAGTCCAAATTTTGCTTACATTAACGCTAAAAACGCTAAAAATGGTCCAGGCCAATTGACTAATAGCAGAATAGAATAGAATTGAAGACACACTGTAATTATTCCTGTGAATAGTAAACGGTTCATGATGGACCATACCGCTGATACTTTTGTGACGTTTTATCAAAATACTTATTTAATAATTGACATTACTTAGTTACTTATATGTTATTTTCGTTCACTTCATATATGAGAAATGAGATTAAATTCTTTCAAGGAATTTCAGTGGTAAAATTGAACAGTAAAAATGGATTGATGTTTGGAATTGAAATCACTGAGGGTTTTGTGAGAGCAATGACAACGTAGGGATCAAAAGCGTATGAGAACTTTGTGAGGATTTCTTCTTTTAATTATTCACTGAGGTGTAAAAAACGTGAAGCAAGCATTCAGTATTTTGATTGAGAAAAGGCAAGATGTCATATTATTACGCGATTTTTGTTTTTGCTTCGTCTAATTTATGTAAGGGCAGATTTTTCAATCGTCGGATAAATTTTAACTGAAGAATAAGTTTGGCACATTGACAGTTTTAGTATTGGAAATATGTCAAAATGACAAGCTTATTCTTCAGTTAAAAGATATCTGACGATTGAAAAATCAGCCCTAAAGCAAATAGTCCAGTCATTTCGTCCGAAAAAAAGGCAAATAAAAGAAAATGAATTTGCGCTTCTAATTTTTTAATATGTTGTAGGGGATACCTAGAAAAGCTTAACTTGAGATTGTCGACCAAGCTTTCCTAGGAGCTTTCGCCGCCATCTTGGAAAACGCTTAAAATTTGTTTTTCGGCAATAACTCGGCTATCCGATGAGATTCGAAAATTTTTGTAGGACACTTTTTGTAGCTTTCTTTGTGCTCTACAATAACGCCCGAACCATTTTTAGCGTATCATGCATCGTTATCGAGATATCGATCGATAAAGTCAAAAATTTTGGACACAATTTTTGTTTTTTTCTTTTTTTTTCTTTGGGTCTTAATAAATATGAAAAATTCCGAAATAATTAAATAATTAATTAAAAAGTAAAAAGTAAAATTTAATTACTTTTAATTACTTTTTAATTACTTTTTTTTAAGTAACGGCAAAGCATTTGTATTAGTTGGTTCTTGTTTTGATCCCTTGTGAGAAACTTCTCCTGGCTAACTTTTGGAGTAGTTGTCTCATCGAATGTGAACTCCGGCGATTGGTTTTTTCTCGAACGTCGTACTCTTTCCGAAGTTTTCGTTCCAGCGAGTGTCATATCAGTCGGATAACCGTCGAATATGATTGCAACCTTTCCTTCGAAGTTATGTTGTACGTATCTGACGTTAATTATTTAATTATTCCGAAATAATTTGTGTCCAAAATTTTTGACTTTATCGATCGATATCTCGATAACGATGCATGATACGCTAAAAATGGTTCGGGCGTTATTGTAGAGCACAAAGAAAGCTACAAAAAGTGTCCTACAAAAATTTTCGAGTCTCATCGGATAGCCGAGTTATTGCCGAAAAACAAATTTTACCCCTTTTTTCAACATGGCGGCGAAAGCTCCTAGGAAAGTTTGGTCGACAATCTCAAGTTAAGCTTTTCTAGGCATCCCCTACAACATATTAAAAAATTAGAAGCGCAAATTCATTTTCTTTTTTGAATGTACGTAATGACTGGACTAAAATAGTAATCATAATAAATACCCGACTGCGCCAAACAAGCAGATGGCAGACACAAGTTGTGTTTCTCACCAGTACCGCTAGATGGAGCTGTGCTGAGTTGACTCGCGATATCATTTGATTTTTTCCCGAACTTAAGTACTCCGGCGACTGCCGACATCGTCACTCTGGTTTCCCTTCAATACGTATAAATCTTTCGCCTTTTACTAAAGATTTCCGTGGAGGGGAACACTCAAATGAGTCTAACTCTATTTTTGAAAAACCCTGTTTCGGCAGGGTATAGAAACTGAATGAAGAATACTGATAGGATAAGTTTTATTATGTCATAATAATAATGTAAGTATACTTAATTATCTTCATAACGTGTCTTTATTAGAAACTAGCTTTCCGCCCGCGGCTTCTCCCGCGTGGAATTTTGACTGTCACAGAAAAACTTTATCGCGCACGTCTCTGTTTTAAAAATCCGGATAAAAACTATTCTATGTCCTTTCCCGGGACTTAAACTATAAATCTATATGCCAAATTTCATTAAAATCAGTTCAGTGGTTAGGCGTGAAAGCAAGACAGACAGAGTTACTTTCGCATTTATAATATTAGTATAGATTCACACACATAGGTAATCAAATAAATAATTTGGTGGAATGTATGGTGGACATAATGCCAAAAGGCAATCTCTATCAGTCAATCATTGATCAAACAAAGGAAAAATGAGGCAATGTGTAAAATTAAATTTACATTTACCTCGCATTCGCATACAAATAAAAAGAGTTATTGGGACTTGACTGGCCCTAAGTGTAAGTAGAGACGACTACGGTACAAAATTAGGTCACTGACTCACTCACTCATCACAGTATCTCAGAAACTAGAAGTGCTAGGAGTCTCAAATTTTGCATAGGAGTTCCTTTTAGAACGTAGGTGCTAATGAGATGGGATTTGGCAAAATTCAACCCCTAAGGGATTAAGTAGCGGGCGGCCGCTAATTAGAAATACATTTATGTCTAAAATTCTCAAATATTAATTCGCAAACAGGTTAGGTACTTAAAACAGACGTTTTCCCCAACATTACTCAGCGCTAAATATCATCGCGACCTTGCGATTGTTTGTTTGGTTTGTTAAGATAGTTCTAAGGCATCGTCAGTCAGTCGCACGTTGATACGGGTGTGATTCACAGATTTGTTGTGCTTACTTAACTATTTAAAATATAGAGCTAAAAGTTAAATAGGTATAGACAATAAAATATAAAAAAAAACAATTGAAAATACTTATCATTTACTAGCAATGAAAGGGACAAGAATATTGTCAGTGGCAGCTAAGTGTCTTGAAATGCAATTTGCATCTTTGTATAATTATGAATCTTATAACGTGAAAAGTGTGTATTTTGAGGATTAAACGCGATGCGTACGATAGATTATGTAGAAAACCGTTTTTGTAAGAAAATGCGGGCCAAACGGAGTTTTTCACATGCAGGTCAGTTGGGTGTTTGCTCGCCGGCTTAATAAAGTAACCGGTATTTCTTGTGTAATATTCGAAAATATGCGTTCATATCTCGATGTTTAAGTAATCGGCTAGAATCTAAAAATAAGTGACAAGTGCGAACAGTTGAACAGTTCATCACCGGAAAAAAATCCAGTGACAAACCTATCCACACTCGAATGTGAGCAAAATTAACAGTTTATAAAGTGTAATATGGCGTTTTTTTATTCCAGATGTAGAGCAGGGCCTCCCCGAGGAGGATGACCACCTGGAGCCTCTGCTGAGTGCTGGGGACAGACATCCGCAGCTGCGACCTGCCCTGCCCAGCGACATCAGCCTCTCGGACTTGAAGTAAATATTTTTAACGCAGTGTACAAACGCAATACGCATCATTGTCTGGATGCAGTGGTAGGGGTAAAAGGAATGTTGGGACGTGGTAAAATGCTCTTTAAAATCTAAATTGAGAAGTCTGGATGAATTACATTTTTGGTTTATGTACGCTGAAGAGCGCATCAAGTGTTGCTCTTCTTTCATTTTCTTCTAAAATACCTAGTTCTGAATCACGCTAAAATAAAGAAGCCAATTTTGCTCCATTCATTCTGAAACAGACCAAAGGTCTGAAGCCATGCTGCCTATGTCACTATCCACAATCTTCTGTGGACCTTTTTCTTAATACGTTTCACAAAAGTTTGAAAGCACAGACAACTTAATTGAGCAGTCTAGTCTGCTGCCGTGCCAATGCATCGGTCAAGGCAATGCCCAGAAAGTTCCATTTTAAACTTGCATTTAAAAAAATTCAAATTTAGTTTCAGTCAAATGACGTCCACTATTGGACAAAGGTCTTTACAACGACCGGTCCTGCGCGGCCCGCATCCACGTTCTTCACGCAACCTTCACCAGATCGTCGGTCCACCTAGTGGGAAGCCTGCTCATGCTACGTCTTCCGGCCCGTGGTTGCCACTCGAGAACTTTTCTATCCCAACGGCCGTCATCTTTACAAGCTATGTGCCCCGCCCACTGCCACTTGATTTTAGCAGTTCTGCGGGCCTATATCGGTCACTTTCTCAAGAAAGTATTTGACTAGTGTGTGTTGCTAATTCCAAATTATTTGCAACTAAATCATTACAAAAACAAAATATCTACTTTACAGAAACTACCCAGGCTTCCACGTGTCCAACAATAACATGACGGGTTCCACAGTATCATTGACCACCCCATGCACGACGGTCAACAACACCCCGGTGACAGAAGGGGTGGATGCCATCCCGAAGAAATGGAGAAGAAGCGACAGGAGGCTCAGGAGACTGAACACGGAGCTGCTGACTGCTATTGAGGAGAACGAGGTTGAGGAGGTGGAAAGGTGAGGAGTTTTTCATCATCATTATTTTAGCCTATTGGCAATATAGAGGTAGTCCACTGCTTGACATAAAGCAGCGTCACAAAGCACGATTTATCTAATCCTATCAGATTCTTCTGCTTTTGCTTCTTTCATTCAGGGAGTTTTTCAAGTAACAATGAATGAAAATTTTAATACCAATGCAGATACAATATAGCGATGATATCTACAACTCAGGAGGGAAATGTGATTGCGATGTTTTTAAAATGAACCAAGCTGATGCACGTAATATTGCATTGTAGTAGCTCGGGAAAAACATCCCTAAAAATCGTCGTGTGTTTCAATACATACAACTTTTTATGCAGTTTCAAATCGCTCAATTGTTGACACTTGTAGCAAATGAAATGCAAGCTTACTATTCTCATTCAGAAATAAAGTAACCTAAACTTATCCAGAAGAACAAATTTCTTGCGAGGAGCACCACGGCTCTCAAAATGCGACTTATCACACCTTCCCATTTTATATTCCATTTCCAGACTCCTCAAAGCAGGAGCCAACCCTAACGCCACCTGCCGTCAGAACTACGTCTCAGCCTGCCACGTCGCAGCCCTAAGCGGTGGAGATGCCTTGTCTCTGCTCGTGAAGTTTGGAGCCGAGAAGTACAGGCTGGACAAACTGGGCAGAACACCACTGCACCTGGCGGCATGGGCTGGAAACGCCAGGCAAATGGCTATCCTTTTGGACTTTCCTGAAGGTATTTTATTTTATGGTCAAGCAGAGACAGTAAGGCGATGCATAGGTTAGGTATTGTGATCTATTTGACTGCCTTCATAGTAGCTTCTACATAGTTACTTCAATTTATATGGTAGCATTGGTAGCTAATGCTACCAAAATGCTAAAATTCTCGCGTTCGCCTTTAGCACTACTAGCAATAACTAGCTTGCAAACTTTGGTTTTCTGAACGTAAAAAAAGGACATTGTGAAAACGGATTCTCCAAAAATTAATTTCATTTTCAAAAGGTATATATAGCAGTACAGTATGTAAGATAACATGCGTTTATTGCTGGTGCCAGTAACACCTAAAATTATAGTCGCCTACAAACTGGAAAACGAAAAAGTGACAGTCAATATCAAACTGGAAATATTATTATCTTCTCATCCTATCATAGACAAAACTCGCAAAGAAATAAAGCTTGTTTTATTACATTTTCAATGCTAAAGAACAATGACCTAAAACGGCCACAATCTACAGTTACCAACTATAAATCAATAGTAAATATTTAAGCACGTCTCATTACCACTATCAGGTGGAACTCGTGATCTGGTGCGACCACTGCCTCCGTCTTCCTGGACACCAGCCTCAGCACCAATAAATCGTCTGTGACATCCTGAAAACAAGGAAGAAACTATACCCCTACTGCCACTAGTTTCTAGTAGTTCGTGGTAATCAAAAACCAATAAAAACTTAAGAGCAACGATCAGTCTTCAGATTAAGAATTCTTCTCACATTTTTCTTAAACCTTCAAGAGGCACGAAACGACACATCTGTTCTCTCGTTCGCTTGCAATCGAATAAATGAGCTGTTGGTACTTATCAACAGATTCATCATCATCATTTCAGCCATAATCATCAACTACTGAAAACAGGCCACCCCATTGATTTCCATACTGACCGGTTGGTAGCGGCCTGCATCCAACGCCTTCCTGCTACCTGTATATGGTCGTTTGTCTACAAAACCTCAGCTTAGAATAGCCTATGTACTAGTAGTTACAAATAGAAGTTTCCAAAGACTAATTTTCTCGTAGATGTCACTTACGATTTCTTTAAGGGCGTTGGAGGCGTGGTGAGAGAGGTTCCTCATATGGGTGGAGTAGGTGGCAGCCGTCAAGCTGTCCAGGGTCGTAGTCTCCGGGAATCCTAGGGATATGGAGAATAAAGTTAATAAACGAAATCTTTATGCATCACATCAGCTCTGTCAATGGACAACAGTACTCTGAGTTCTTGTCATGAGTAAATAAGATAACACACACCTTCACAGTTGACTATGATGGTGCCCACCACATTGCCGTTCTCGTTGATTCTGTTCATAGTATTTGTTGCAATCGGCCCCTACAACAATAAACATATAATTAGAAGATAAGAATTAGCTTTTCATAGTATTAGAGGTACTTGATGGCATCTAAACGCGGGCAGCGCAGAGGAACGGTCGTTGTTGTTATCCTTGGGGGAAGATTTTGGTCCATCAGAATACCTACGCACGTCATTTGGTTGAAATGAACGAACGAACTTACCATATAATTTTGAGCGATCTCCATGTGTAACTAAGATTTTATGTGAAATCAAAATCAAATTCGATAAATAAATGGATATACAGCGATTAAAAATTAATTCTTCGAAAAATTGCTCTCCCTTCACAAACAACGTTTGCTGTCACAATAATTGACTATTCTTTCTTTTCTAGCCATAGTGACTCATGGTTTCTATTCTATGTGCCAGTTCTTTTTGAGTTTCATAAGCTTCTATGTGCATTTTACGCGCAAGAACCAGCAAGAACGGTTAAAAGATGGTTTGATCCACCGCATCATGTCTACAGGTGCACCAATGAACGAGAGGTGGGAACAGTCCCATTTTCCATTTTAGCAGCAATTTAAATTCATTCTTCATCTCTTCCAGGCATGTATGAACGCGTCGACAACGACAGCATGTCTTCAGACATGGAAGAGGAGGTGAAGAAGTTAAGCGAGAAGACCAGATCCCTGGCCAACGTGCGCTGCGACTTAGGAGTGGTCAAGACCCTCCTGCCGAGCACTTGGAAGGACAACATTGATCATGACTGCAAGAATATTGACGGAACGGTTAGTGGAGAGGTCATCCATGGAGATTCATCCACAGGAAATCATGGCTGATTCTAAATTAGCCCATTTTAAAAGTCTTAGTAATATTGCCCATCCCAAGATATTGGTTGATATAGCCTACGCCCCCCCTGAAATGTAACCCAAGATACGCCAATGACTACTCAGCAACACAAGTATGTTGATTAGGAGGTATTGCCATTTCACTGTCGTGGGAAGTACTCGTACCTACTTGCCCGGTCGTTGTGGAAAACCTTAGGAGGCTTTTGTCCAGTAGAAGACGTCATTTAACTGAAACGAACGGACTGTCGTAGAAAAATGTAACTGATAGTTGTAACTCAATTCAATCAATTAAATTCCAGAATAATTCATAGTCAGGAACGATACTTAAACCCAGCATTGACAAAATATGACTATTATTTACAGCTGCCACTCTTAAAACCTGGCTGGACGCCGCTCCACGTGGCGACTTCATGCGCTCGGAAGCAGTGCACCCGGCTACTCCTAGCAGCTGGAGCTGACCCCAACATCTGCGACGAAAATGGCAGAACGGCTCTGGATGTCGCTGGCTCGGCGTACTACTATGATATGCCTGTCGATTCTCAGAGGTAACTTTATGACTAACGGGACTGTTCCCACCTTTCGATTCTACGCCTGCAACTCCTGTATAGCCTGTGAAGGCCAATTTCAATATAAAGACTTAATGTTATTGGGTTACTTGGTGAACCGAGGATCTACTGAAGGTCGCGTGAAGCACCTGGATGCTAGCAGCGCAGGACCGGTTGTTGGGAAAATCCTTGGGGAAGCCTTTATCCGATCCTTTATAGATCTGTATCTACTCTGTCTTCTCACAAAGCTCATACAGATTCTAATTTTCACGCTTGCTTTTGTTCGTAGTTTCAAAGAAGTAGTCCAACTGATCCTAAAAGTTGGTGGTCAAAACAACACCATGAAAGTATCTGGTCTTAACCACGTGGACACCCCCCTCCACACCGCAGTGGAGCTGGAAAATGAGGACGTCATCAAGGAACTGCTCCAAGTTGGTGCTTCTATCGCCTCCTTGAACACTGCTGGACAGACCCCCCTTCATGTGTGTGTGAAGAAGCAGTTGGAAGATCCTTTAAAGGTGAGAAAAAAGATGATTACCAAATAGCATTATTAAGCTGCACCTACCCAAAGACTTTTAAGTCAAGCTAATAAGCGAAAAATTAAGCTACACAAGCTGTCGCAATATGGATTTTTGTGACACCATCACCAACTTATTGATCAATATCTCAGCAGCATGCTACGTGAATCTGTTATTAATTGAGACCAAACTAATTTTCAGATATTAGCTAATGAAGGCAGAAATGACACTGATCCGTTGTCAGCGATGGTAGACGTGAAAGATCGCGATGGACACACGGTCTTGCAGGCGGCCATTGAAGCTGCGTGGGTGCCAGGCGTGTGCGTGGCATTAGAGGCTGGAGCTGACGTCACTCTGAAGGTACAAGACTTAAGAAAAAAATATCCAGAATAAGGAGATATTTAGTTGTCAATTATGCGGTATTCCATGTGGTAGGTATTTAACCGACAAAGTACTGGAAAAAAAACATTAAACCTTTCTATTCAATTTTAGGCAAACGACGGTGAAACTCCAATACACTCAGCTGCAGCATTAGGCAACTTAGACGTCCTAAATGAAATCCTCAGTGTTGCCAAACAAAAAGACGCCATTGACTATCAAAACGAAGAAGGAGAGACGGCTCTATTCAAAGCCATCATCAACAACCACACTGCTTGCGTCGTCGCAATCCTAAATGAAGGTGCATCTATAAAGAAAACTCTAACAGGCGACGTCAATGTATTCCACGTGGCTGCAGAAAGAGGGCACGTCGATGTACTCAAAGTGTTACTAGATCATGACAAAGAAGCTACTAACTTGATGCTTAACAGTCTCACCCAAGGAGACCGAAGAGGATTTGGGCCAATCCATTTTGCTGTCTCCGAAAATCATTTAGAGTGCGTTGAACTGCTCATGTCCAGAAACGCTGACATTAGGCTAAGAACAACCAGCAGCCCACACAAATCTTCGACGCCACTGCACATAGCAGCCGTCAAAAATCATGGTGAAATCGCAAAAGTCATTCTAAATTATGATAAGACAACAATACACGAAGTCAATTGCATGGGATGGTTCCCATTGCATTCTGCTAGTCACCACGGCAGCAGAGATGTCATAGTTCTTCTTTTGAGAGAAGGGGCAAATCTAGCTGGCCACACAGATGGACCAAAGAAGTTCAAAAGAACTGCTATAGACATGATAATAAACAACTTGTCGAAACCAACAGAATTTCTGGAAGACGTCTTAGATTCTTATATTTCTACAAATGAACAGAACATTCAGGACCCAAATTGTGAAGTAACAGTTGATTATAGAATTTTGATGCCCAGTGTGTGTGAAATGGAACAAATGAAAGTTATCGAAGCCCTCCTTAAAACAGGCAATAGACATGGACAAAAAAGGCTTCTGGTCCATCCTTTAATAGAAAGCTTTTTATATCTTAAATGGAGAGCGCTGTTACCATTTTTCTACACAATCATAGCATTTTATGGCCTTTTTGTTATGTCGTTGACTATTTTTGCTATATCTGTATTCTTTTACAAGGACACTCTTGAAACGAAACCAGATTGGCTTAATTCAACGATATGGGGATACATAGTATACGGTACAATTTCATTGATTCTGTTGCAAGTGAGTAATTAAAACATTCTTTTATTTCTCATCCTACTTTTATTGAAAGCAGTATCTATGTATACATATTTTAATTCAAAATATCCTTTCAGGAACTACTCTACATGAATGTCAAGAGCAGCCGCTACTTTTTCCAACTAGAAACATGGGTGAAATTTGGTTCCCTAGGCCTGGCCGTCCTTCTTCCACCTGCAGTCTTGATACCGGGTTGGGAGGACGCTGAGTGGCCAAGACATGTGGCCACTGGAGCCCTTCTCCTGGCCTGGATCCAGATGATGTTCTTGTTGTCCCGGTTCCCAAACTGGGGATATTATGTGCTTATGTTTGGCAAGGTGGCGTCCAACGTTGTTAAGGTGAGAATATTTTTTTTATTAATTTGACAAAACTTCTTAAAGTAACACTATATGTAACTAAATCATTGTTTCAGATTCTATTAACATTTGCCTTCTTAGTCATCGGTTTCTCTCTCAGCTTCATGATTCAGTTTCGGTCTAAGACTCCTTTCGACAGCCCGTTTGCTGCCCTTATAAAGACTGTCGTCATGATGACGTCAGAATTCGAGTACGACTCTCTCTTCGACGAGGAGCACTCCAACCAACTCGCCTTCTCCTTCCAAGTCGTCCGCCTCATTTTTGTTGCTTTCCTCATCTTGGCGGCCATCGTCCTCATGAACCTGATGGTTGGTGTGGCCGTTAACGACATCACCGACCTAGAACTCCTTGGGAACATCAGAAGGCTTGACAAACAAGTTGGTTTCTTGAGCACTCTAGACACTTTAGTCTACAACAGAATCTTTAGCAGAATATTACCAAGACGGGTCAATAGTAAGATCAAATATAAAAGAAACGTTAGCGGAGTGTTGACGCTAAGACCTGGGAGACCTAGATGGAGGATCTCCAAGATTCTTCCGTCAAGGATTCGGGACGCAATTTTCAATAAGGCACAGTCGCAGAAGAAGCAGCAGGACGACGAGTTAGACGTTAGGAACTTCAAGGTGTTGCTGAATGATATACATGAGGAAATTGTTGCGAAGAAGCGGAGACAAATTGAGGCGACTGAGGCGCAAAAGGACTTAGAGAGTCGACCAGGAAAGAACAGGTTTAGACATGAGGAACTTATGAAAAGGCTTAATCATTTGGATGGGGAGATGACGGGAGTCAGGGAACAGGTCACAAGTCTGACAGATGAGAAGTCGCCGTTAGAAGCACTGAATGTTAAAGTCGATCAGATGTCTATAGAAATGTTGGAAATCAAAGAGTTCTTGATGAGGCTGGAGAGTAAGATTGGTAGTATTGCGAAGTAGCAGCTAGAAATTTTCTAAAAAGAATTCCATTTTACTTAAAGGCTGAGGTATTAAGGGAGAGTCCGCTAATTTGGACCAGTTTTTTTCAATCCCATTTTACTCATAGTTTTCTTTTGTTTTTGCTAATGTCCATGGTATATAATAAAAGATACATTATTCAACTTACTATTTTATAAGTATTAATTAACATGATTTTTGTATATTTAGCACAAATCAACAAAGTACGAGTTCAGAGCTTCGGTCAAATTTAGCCAACCGGTTCGATAATTTGTACCACAGGGTTACTAAATTGGATTTCAATAAATTTCAAGCCTATAAAAAAACTATGGCAAAATAATATACGACACATTCTTAACAAATTAGGAAACGAAAAGGAACAGTAGTTAATAACATAGACAATCGATATTGTTTTACACGTTATCACGATTTTGAGTACAAGTTTTGTAATTCCAATTATCGTAACGCACACTTGTACCTAATCTACTTTGCCAGTCTTTTGCTTTCATTTATTGTTAGTCAAACATAACTACGCTATTATAACTTCAAAATATGATTTACTAAAAAAAATTTCAAAATCCTTTGGTAAAGTTCCATACAACTTGATGTGGTACAATTTAGCCGACTAGGTGATAGTGCTTTTAAAAAATCGGTAAAAAATATAGCTTATAAATACTGAAAAATGTTTCAAATAATTGTAATCCACAGTAATTTACGCTTCTAAATAATATATTAGATACACCCTATGATTAAATTTAACAAAATTACAAACAAAACATGTATTGTCAAAAGTTACTTGAAAACAATTAAAAAATACTTTTCAAAATAAAACACACGTGTTTGTTGTCACAGCAAAAACCACATGGCCGATATTAATTGATTTTAGTTGTGTATCGCTGAGTGTTGCAATTACAGACATTCAATAAATAGGTACTTTACGAAATATGAGGGTGGTACAATTTACCCGGCGGTACAATATACCGAACTCTCCCCTATTACTCCTTATCCAATTTTTAATTAACATTAAGCGTCATTAAAAGACTATTTTGGATAAAATAACAATGACTTATCGAACGTAAAGTTCGTAATCAATGTTAAGTATCAGTCTGATCTATCAGGAACCATATTTTATTATTTTACATATTAATTAGTAAAAGAAAAAGTATGGATTAAATCATAAGACCGCCTAAATTGTGCCTTTTAACTTTGTAAGCATTTCTTGTGATTGACTGTGTGTAGTAGTGTTCAATAAAATAAATACGTAAATACTTATTCTATCTATACTTAGCCATAAAATATTGCTAAATAAAACATAAGTAGTATTTACAAATCGCTATCTAAACGTCACCCATTTATTATTCATATTCGTATTTCCCCAAGCTAATGAGCAAACATTAAGATTTATTTTTATTTACACTAATTATGAAGTTCAAAATACTTCTCGGAAACTGGAAATAAAACCATAATATAACGTTCTGTATTTCGATAATCGACCCTTTGTAAAAATACATGACTAATAGTGAAAACCTAACTGTATTAATTCGTAAGAATTGTTATAATTTTATAGTATTTTAGTACTAGTTTTGGTCGCCCGCTACGGGCTAAAAAGCTAGTTTATAGTCTGTTATTATAAGAATAAATAAATCAATCATTGCTACTTTCAAGTATAGTAGCACGGTAATAATATCATACAGTATTATAACTTCATATAAACCGACGAAACGCGAGCTTTCCTTCGAATTTCAAATCTCGGGACGCGGTCGAAATCCAAAAGTTAGGGTTAGGGGTGTCGCGAATGTGCCGAACGGACGTCGATGGCCTAGCTAGTGTTGAAAATGACTAAGGTGATTGAATTTGACTACCGTCATTTACGGTCAAATTTGTCAAAAACAAGTTATTAACAGTCAAAAATGGCCATTTTCAGTCAGTTTGATTTGAAATAAAAATTATATTGTATTAAACCAGCTTTTGCCCACGACTTCATCCGCCTGAAATTAAAGTAACAGGTCATTAAGTAGGTACTCATTATGATTAGTAGATTCAAAATTATATTAGTATATTTTTTTAAATTAAATCTACTAACACAAAACAACACGCATTTTTATCCTATTCCATTCACAAAGTATTTTGTTTGTCTAAATAAAAAAAATTACAATCACAAAACTAGATAGAAATTCTAAGTAGACAGATGTAATTAGAATGGGTAAGTACTGTAGGTAGGCAGCCCTATCGCATGTTGTCATACCGTGACGTACCGCGCGACTGTTGACATTTATTTCAAAAATATGGCCGAGTTGGAATACTGTATAGATAGTATTACCGTGATAGTAGTGATGACTTTCCATTACTTTGTTGGTATTACATGTTATAACATTTTTACAATGTTATTTGAAATGAGTTAGATTGTTGTGTCAACTTTTGATAAAATAAAGACTTAGGTATAAAAATCTTTTCGAAAAAAATATTTCTATGAAGGTAGTTTTTTTTTGGAAATTCGATCTTATAACAAGTACATAAAAGCCAAAGTGCAGTGATAAGCTTGATGTGCTGCCATCTGTGTAAGTCGACGGTAGTCCAGAATTTCGCGATCAGCTGACAGCGGGGATATAGCTCAGTGGTAGAGCATTCGACTGCAGATCGAGAGGTCCCCGGTTCAAACCCGGGTGTCCCCTGCCGGGCGGTATTTTTTTTATCCTCACCGAGGAAGCTCTTGGCCTGTATAGTACTTATTATTATTCTGTGCCTGTATCAATAAATATAGATGACCCACGCTGAACTGTCCCACCAAACTCAATGACAGGGGGGCGCTACCATCGTTCAACTATATGGTTTCCAACATGGCAAAAATCTGAACCAGCGATCCGGTATTGACGGTGGCGCCCCGCTGTCAATGTCATGCATAGGACAGTTCAGTATTTTGGAACTATACCAGCGTCTACGTCTAGAATCTAGATGAATGAATTTAAAAAAGTTGCCCATGCAAAAAAAAGCTCTTGGTCTCCAAATTTATTTGACACTACATTATTTTATTCAAACTGGCCACTGAAGCGGCAAAGTTTTCAACGCAAACTTTTTCAGAAGGACAAAATTCCACTTTTGACTTTACCCTAAAAGGGAGCAAGCCAAAGCCTTCTTATTAAAACGAGGAAAAATAACGTCTGCGGGTAGGCAAAGTTTGTTAATAAACCTCACCGCAACAGGGAAAGCTGGGGGTAATGCTATACCTACTTGCTACTTATCTCACAGTTCGGGACCGTGTGCTGAAACATGGCAACACAAATAATATTTTGTACAAACAAAACAAATAGTCGTAGCTATTTTGGTATTTTGTATGAATTGTCACAGATACTAACTACATGCTAGTTACATTGACAAATACAAGTAGGTATATTAAACCAGTAGCTGATGGTCACAAACACTATTTATCCAAATCTTCAGCGCCAAACTTTCAGTACATCCTAATTCCTAGGAATTAGTAGCGCTAATATTATACGGCAAGTAAGTAAGTACTTACTTCCTAATAAGCGGTAAACTACTTATTGAATAAATTTTGAAGAAACTTTACAGTATTACTATTAACTACGAGTAGGTATAATATATAGTTTATGCACTAGAATAACAGAGTTTAACAACGATAAAATCAAAAGCAAGTATGTCTTTCTGTGACCAACTGAATTTCAGATGATGCCACAGACAAAAACTAGTACGACTGTAAGCTTACACATGCTGGACAGCAAATATTATTTAAAATAGGTACAGTTTGTTTACTTGTTTCCAAAGAACGTCGCCAACATTTTTCGGCAGGCACATTTATAGTTACTGTACCAAACAAATAGCTGTCGCGAACAGAACTGCAGCAGCAGTGAGCATAGTCTAAGATCCCGCTATACAGGGTGTTTCTTGTAAGGTGTCAAGCCGAAGGCAGGTGATAGGTGAGGACTAGACCTATCGATTTTACCCCCATGTATGTTCTACGATTTTTCATAGTTTAGAAGTTATCGTTAATTTTGTGATTTTTTCAAATTGTATGACCCAGTAGGCTTTAAATTTTTTTATCTTTTTTTTGGGTCGACTTTTCTCAGATTTCTTTTTTTTGACAGATTCCCTATTAATTGCAGATTTTTTAAAAAAATAATCAACTTCCTATCTTTGATGCAAGATACAAAATTTTTGCTAGAAACATAAAAAATATGCTTTTAGCGGAACATTCTAAAATTTTCAACTTAAAGGTTTGAAAAAAAAAAGAACTTCCATAGGTCCAAAATAATTTAAAAAACTGCGCAGTTTTCTGAACTTTCATAATAACACAAAAAAACATGTACTTAATAGTCCATTATTTTCTGTAATCGCTCCACTCAAGTGGGAAGTTGGAGATTTCGTTACATGTTTTTTACTTTCTTAGGACTAAGTAATGTTTGCAATCCCTTAAGTTTACGTTATGTAGAACACATTTAGAAACAATATCTGAAAAGAACATTTTTTATCCACAACGAGGAAGCTCTTGCCCTTCATCTGGTATACAATAGGGAATATGAAAATATTGATGAACTGCGGACAAAGCTGACTGAAGCACAAAACCAAATTAAAATGAAGAAGAAGGTTTTACAAAGAATTTTTTGCGTCGTTGTCGAATGTGCATTCAGGTCAACGGCGGACATTTTGAACATTTACTTTAAATTAAATTATTACACCCATTTTTGCGCTCTCTCTCTCTCTCTCTCTCTCTCTCACACACACACACACACACACACACACATTTTTTATGTTTCTAGCAAAAATTTTGTATCTTGCATCAAAGATAGGAAGTTGATTATTTTTTTCAAAAATCTGCAATTAATAGGGAATCTGTCAAAAAAAAGAAATCTGAGAAAAGTCGACCCAAAAAAAAGATAAAAAAATTTAAAGCCTACTGGGTCATACAATTTGAAAAAATCACAAAATTAACGATAACTCCTAAACTATGAAAAATCGTAGAACATACATGGGGGTGAAATCGATAGGTCTAGTCCTCACCTATCACCTGCTTTCGGCTTGACACCTTACAAGAAACACCCTGTATATACAACGACCTTCACCGNCATCAAATAAGCATCTCGGTGAAGGTCGTTGTATAGCGGGATCTTATACTAGCAGTACATATTTCAATGCTCGAGGAACAGGATATTCTGGAGAAGCTGAAAACGACTGGACTGGATTAAATATCCAGCGCAGCTTAAGCACACAGCAGAACACAACATGAGAATCCAGTGGGTGGTCACAGTATAGAGAATTAATAGTAAGTTAAGATACACTAATAAAAATAAGTAGTGACTGAGTTTTTTTCGCTGCTTCTTCTGGCCCATTTATTGTCCCGAAGCAGTGATAGGGTTAATACTGGGACGTCTAAAAGTGATTTTTAAAAGTCTACTTCCAAAAATTAAATGAGCTTTAAGAGTGAGTTTTAATAACTTTTTTTACTGACTGTACGCATCTACTTACTACGTGGAAGCTTTGGGAATAGCCCCTGGTTGTCTTGGAAACCACAACCTAGCTATGCTTTTAGATTATTAGCCAAAGGTTTTTTTAATCATCCAACAGGACGTCCACTGCTCAACAAATGCCTCGTCCAATGCTTTCCAGATTTGGTTGGTATCTTTGCAGCCTCTATCCAGCAGCGCCATTATAAGGTCGTAAGTTTATGCCCAACATAAACATTTGGACCCAACGCCTTTTAGTATTATTACCATCCAAAGTATAAAATTTAAACCCTTATTAGAAAAAAAAACTATTTTTTTATCTTTATTTAACTGATAAACAATAATTTTATAATATATTTAGATAAACTTAAAAAAAAATGTTATTTTAATTTCACAAGCTATCTAGTTCTACTGCTCCCATATTGTACTGTGCCTGGCCCACCCGATGCCCCTCTGCACCCATGCAATGTTAAACAGTCCCACTGACCATAGTTCACCCGCATCAAACTTTTATACCTTGATTTTTTAGAATCCAGCAGAGATGTAAACAGACACTTTCATACACAATTACACCATAATCACTTACGTGTTCATAATATCATACACATTATTTAACAAGCCCATGAAACCAACTTTATTTTCACGTTTATACAAGTTTGAAATCAATCTTTGAAACAAATTATTTTAGCAAAATACGTGGACGATGAAAATTTGTGAGACTTGTCAAATTGACTTGACGTTTAAAATCATGTGTTATCTCCATATTGTCTATGACTTGTCTCTGACACATCAGTGCTGTAACCTGTGAGTCATAGACAATAATCTGTAAATTTAACGATATTATTTTAAGTATTCACTTATTCCGATTACTGATTAATTTTAAATAAAAAATATACGATGCTTTGTTTAATTTTCCAGCGATAACTTCGACAATATTGGAGATAACGTAAAATTATTTTTCTACTTTTAGTGTATACTTTTTCGGAGTCAGTTTAATTTTTCGTCGGTTTTATTTAAACGAAATTATTTTACTTTTTTATGCAATTATGCTTACTTTCCTACATAAGTAAATAAACTAAAAGAAAATAAAAATCTTCTTTCAATTAGTGTTTTCGCGATTGAAAAATCCGCCAGATGGCAATACGTAGACGCGAGGTCCAAATGCTGCATGATTGGTTATTTTTGACATGACATTGACAGATATGTCAAAATCCAACGTGGACCTCGCGTCCACGTATTGCCATCTGGCGGATTTTTCAAACGCGAAAACCCTTATTGATAGCATCTTAAATTACCTCCCTAGCGGAATAGAGCAACAAAGAACTGAGCGAGCGAGATGTCACTAGTAGCAACACTGTCAAACAGAACTTTTTGCAACTATTTGAAGTTTAATAACTTTACGGATATTATTGATTGTTTTACTGTCCAGTGTGTTTTTTGATTACATCTGTGCATACAGTTTGTTTCCTGTTCTCGAAAATTTCATAATCAGTTCACATTCAATGTTGCGACATTGTTGCATATTTTTAATATTTTGACGATCACCCGGCGATGATACGCAAGTACTACAATAATTTCACTTCGCGATTAACGAGAGGTTTTGTCGCATCACTAGTTCACAGACCAAAAATATTTTTATGTCAGTTGGCCATATTTGATGACATTTCTGCTGATTTCTAAAAAATTAGACTTTACACCGTTCGAGGGTGCACTTTTAAAAATACAACTCTACAACCTGATTTAAATTCTTGGGAGATTTTGGCTATTTCAAGGCGGGACGTGGTCTTTACTTGGCTTTTACTAACTACGCCATAGGGATGTTTTTTTCTTAGCTTTCGCGGTTTGCGTTTAGCCACAACGGTCACGCAGGGATGTAGCTATCGCCGTATGAGCGGTATCAATGTACCTACGGGGGGTACAGGGACGGATGTTTTTGAATGCTATATTTACGTCTTGATTCTTTAGATGATTTGTTTGCAATGACCTTTTTAGGTGAAAGACCCTTCAACTTTGATACAGGGCAACAAATGAACAAGGGCCATCTCATATTATGAAACAAGGTGATCTAATGCAAGCGATAAATTCATTTTCCTAATTTTATCAAAATTATGATTGTTATTAATCATCAAAGTAATTATTTCATTATCGTAGCCATAGCGATTTTACAATAGACATTACTAATTTTAAGACATTTTTATTTTGATGTCCTTTCTTAATATTAAATTTTAATTTATTTTCGATTAGCCTGTTTAGTTTTTAGATATTATTATTGTTATTTCTTTAAAAATATTACTTTGTATTAAGTTTGAGTTATGGCGCCAAATTATAGAAAAAAGATTACCACCAGAGATCTACCAGATGTAAGTACCTGCAGTAAAATTAATAGGTACTTTAAGTACTGACATTGAAACCCAGTAATTTTTATTTTAGTGCCTTGGAGAAGACACTGTCAAGACCATAGCACGCATAGAAGCACATCCCACTGTTGTGGGCATCATGTTCATACGACAAAGTACGTACGATCGGTTGTAGATAAAAAGACCTTAGTTTGCAAGTGCTAAAGAAAATTTTAGTCGCTGTTTAAAATACTATAATTTATCTTTAAGATTCAGTGCATATTTGCACCGTGCCGGAAGCCATGGCACAAACCATGATCACGAAGCTTCCTCAACTAAGTTCTGCTATACATCGAGCAATAACGGAAATAGTAAGATATTAATATTATGTAAACTATTTTACGATAAAAATATTTAATGGACCTAAAATCACATGACATGTTCCATTTTTCCCGCCATTTCACTAATGTAAGAAAAACAACTACCTCTTTTGGTATAAGTACTATACTCTATGAACTACCTGCTAACTGCTTGGCACTCTAGCTTTTGGCCGGAAGTGTTTAGTCACGATAAAATACTACATCTAGTCACTAGTCACCACTTTTGCCAAAAATATTAAAAAATATCATAACCAACAGGATATCAACGATGAATTGATAACATACCGAATCGAAACAAAGATGAACGAAATCTTGGTGGCCGCGGGAAAAGACTACACGGCGTGTGTTATTCATACAGTTAAGAAAAATAAACAAAGAGGGAATAAAATATAACAAGACGTTACTCAATAACGTGGTTAGTTAGTAAAGGTTCACGAACTTGGCGACCAGTAAAGTTGTAATAAACAAAATAAGGGATAATGAAAATTATCAGTAACCTGTTAAAAGATGCTCGAGATGAGTGGTTGGTGAATACGGTAAGAAGCCTAAATAAAACTTAATGTTATTCGTAAAAATAAATCTATAATTTCTTATTCCTTATTTTCAGACTGTAACTATAAATAAAGTTAATCCCATAATAGATCGAATTATGGAAGATGAATCTGTAGAAGGAGTTATTATGACAAATAAGGAAGGTTAGTAAAATTGGGACAGCTCGTTTTGTTTGGCAAATGCGTTCGTTCGTTTTGCTTTAAAGTTTATAATGCCTTGTCGAAAACTATTTACCACCAAGTTAGCTTACGGTAAAAGTCCGCTAATTTCTTCTCACTGTCTCTAACCAGGCGCTCCCATATTGACAAATATTAGTACAACCAGAGCCACCAACTATGGATTGGTACTCCAGAGCTTCGGGACTATGGCCCAAATATACATTAAAGAACTGGTATAAAAACGTATTCCTAATTAATAATAGACATTTCAGAAATCAAGTAGAGTCAAACTTTTACAAGAATCCAATAAAATTCGGTAGTTTAGCAAGTTCCAACTCTTCAGTCAAACTAAAATATTAATTTATTTACAGGATACTTTTGACGAAGTTCTTGTAGCCCGTATCCATACGAAGAAATCTGAAATTATGATGGCTCCACATCCAGAATTCACCATTATTGTGATCCAGCACGCCAGACACATACTTGAAGAGAATAAGGAAAATAAATATAAATCTAATAGAAATTAGTTAATGTACTCGTAATAATTCTAAATAAACTATTGAATTGAATTAGAATCACTTTCCTTTTAGTTACTTTATAAATGTTTTATTTGGAAGACCACACAATGTCCTAAATTAGTATAACTTTATGATCCGTAAGTAATCCGACTCGTCCAACAGCAAAAAAAGTAATCGTCTCAAAGTCACTCCTAAAAAGCATGTGATATTTTGTGCTGGTCTTTGCAGGGTACATCCCTATACCGGATACGCTTGTCAAATTTTGCTGATGCCGCGCGCGCCGGTGTCGCCGGCCGCCATGTTTTATTTAGCGTCGTTTGATTGTTGACGGACGACGTATGAGTGCAATAAATTTTCATGAAAAATAGAAGTCATTTGCATCTTTAGTGCTATTGACTATTTTATTAAAGAATTTAATGATGGCGGAGAGTTTTGATAAAAATGGGTACAACAGCGGCGAATTTAAGAGAGAGCCGAGGCAACCTGAAGACTGCGGGCCGATGGACCAAGATGGCGATGAAGGATTGAAATTGAATGATAAAGCCGATGAATACATGAGGGAATTGTTGAGTGAGAAGATTAAACTCAATAACCAGAAATTCCCAATCTCGTCCAAACTTATTGACCAAGGTACTAACAACTTTCTCAATGTTCTACTGCGCAACTGTTGGCGTGGTAGATTTGTTTGATTTGCAAATAAAAAGTCTATGTCAACAGACTAATTTATGCCTAATAAAGGTATTAGGTGTTAAATTAATTGTTAGGTCACACAAAACAACAAATTAAGTCAGTCATTGACCTTCCCCCTTGGCATGACATTCTACAAACAATAACCTCATAACCAAACAAAATGAATTTAACAGCATCTATGTAGTAGGTTTCAGGAAAACTATGTAAACCTACATCCACCACACTTCATTTAACTATTTGAATAACCAACATCTGTTTTATTTACAGAGGTGTCAAGGGTACAAACCACAGGCAGGATTCCCGCCAAAGACACCAAGTACATGGATGTCTTCCGTGAGAAGCCTGTCAAAGTTACAGTTAAAGTTTTGGTGCCGATCAAAGAACATCCTCAGGTAAAAATGTTACTTTATTACTCAGAATAAGCAAATTTAAGATGCTAGGAATGATCCTATAATAAAAGTTTGTTGTTTTAGTTCAATTTTGTGGGCAAATTACTTGGGCCCAAAGGCAACACGATGAAACAAATGCAAGAAGAGACCATGTGCAAAATGGCTGTTCTAGGACGAGGATCAATAAGGGACAGGTAAGATAAAATTGTAAATAATTAAAGCCCTACTCATTTTCTTTATATTTTGTTTTATATCATTGGCATTGATAGATCTTGTATTTATCATGACCACCTTGAATTAGTCTTCTTATATATGTTGAGTGTCCTTTTATTATGCCTATGCCTAAGCTGTCTTCTTAAATTACGTGGTTTCTTTTTAGCCTTTTAACCACCAATGAAATCTAGTCTCATTTAGATACTAAGTGTTATTTTCATTCTAGACAGCTCATTTAATGGAGCTTATACTTACCAGATCAAAAGTTTACTATAATTATGCATCTTTCCTACAGGAGAAAGGAAGAAGAACTCCGTAACAGCTTAGACCCTAAATACTCGCACTTGTCAGATGAGCTCCACGTCGAGATATCAGCGTTAGCGCCCCCTGCTGAGGCGCATGCGAGGATTGCATACGCACTGGCAGAGGTCAAGAAATACCTGGTCCCTGACGGCATGGAGATGATGAGGCATCCGCCTATTAGGGAACTGATGGACAGAGGTTAGTGCCAAAATTTATTTTTATGGTCTGCACCAATATACTTTGGCATTCTTTTAATTAAATAGATTGGTTTATCGAATGGTCTACGTTCTTAATTGAATAATCCTGTATTATTTATTGTAAACTGAGATATTAATGTAGGAATTGAAACACAGTTCTAATTCCCACATATTTATTTGCCCAAGATAGAAAATAATAAAAACAGTAATTTATAACAATTGTTCGTCTACACGTCGTCATACGTCACACACACTCTTCCTTCTCTTTCACACATCTTTACGTTCCGTTTCTCACTCATATCCTAGATTAATCTGTTTTTCAATACATTTGCTACTTCTATTTACAGGACTATCAAGTTTATTCGTGCAAACTATTGAATTTCGTTATAAAAACAAGTTGTAAAATAATATGCGTCTTAAGAAAAATTGTACAAAAACATTTTTCAAGGTCGTGCCAAATTGATTATACTAACTTAATCAAAGCACAGTAAAAGGAGATTTATCACACTATAATAATAAATATTTGTGTATTTTATTGTGGCAAGTACGCATATAATTTTAGTACAGTCAGTGACAAATAGTTTGTTAACTAAGCGAAAAAAAAACTATTGGAGTGGTCAAGAGATGACGACACAACCTTATTCTGCTGACTGTACCTATGGATGTGCTCTGTGGTATACTTAAAATAAGTAGCATGATAAAACACAATTTTCCTTATCTTACATCAGTTGTGAGTACTACAATTCCCGAACACAAGACAGGGTGACACACGAACCAATCACAGAGCTCTATTCAACGCTGTGCGTTCAATTTTCTGGTTCACTTATGCGAGCATCGTTTGTGAATATTGGTGTCAGTATAGCGCAATATTATCGATACATTGGCAACACTTATCGCGACCGCTACTCACAGTGACCTTTGCCACCCAGTAGGCTTAAAGTACTTTACATACGTCTAATTCTTACTATGAGATAAAAAATAAAACATTTGCACAATGTTTTCTCTCAGTAAATTCTAATTTAATCCTGACACCTATAGGTGGTTATAGTTGTTGCAATTCACGAAGGCAAGTGAGCTTTACATGTCTGGTGGCTCGCTACTGTTCGTTTTTCAAAATTCAGAGGGCTGAGTGTGTTTTTTGAAAAATGTCATTAAATGTATGACGGATTGTACAGCGTCCCTAGCGGGTAACTTTCAAAGAATAAAATTTTCATACATTTTTTAAACGCGCTCACATGTAAACCCACACTCAGCCCACTGATAAACATTACACTATCGTTATGTGCAATGTACACGTACACACACAAGTAAAGCTCACTCGCCCTCGTGAGTTGCAAGAACTATACATTCTAACCTGTGGCTTCTCTGCAGGTATGCCGCCACCCGGGCCAGACAACGTGATGTACAGTGCTTGCACCGTCACCAAACGGTCGTTCTCTTATCAAGATCCGGTTATTGGCAAAGGTCACTACTTTCTTTACACCAAGGGTGGCCAACTTGATTAGACATAAGATCTACTGTTTACTAACAAAACCCTGGGCGATCTATCACTTACATACTTCTTGAAATTTTAAATGAAACAGCATAGTTTAGTACTAGAGATGAAACGGATAGTAGTTTGGCCGGATACCGGATACCGGATATCCGGCCAGCTGCTAGGCCGGATAGCCGGATATCCGGCGGCCGGATAGTTGGCCCATTGTCTCGTTGCATGTCGTGACGAGTTTAGCGTCGCACAGGTGCTTCGAACGCGATCAGTGGGTTATTAGTAGACTAGACTAGACACACTTGAAAATCGAATCAGTCCGAATAGAATGTCGGATTTTGCCACTTGTCTAGGGGGCAGATAAATTCGGGCGATTTCGGTTGCCTTCGTGAGTGTGTGATTCGTTTACTTGCTGCGTAATCTGACCGAACTGCATCATCATGACATCAGACCATCAGTGAAAAATGATGAGATGATGATGATATTTTATTTGGCAATATTTACATACAGGAAGGAATGGAAGTAATTTTTTTTACTTAAACTTTTAAGTTGAAAATTTGTTAGTGTTCTGCTAAAAGCATAATTTTAATGTTTCTAGCAAAACTTTTGTATCTTGCATCAAAGATAGGAAGGTGATTATTTTTTTCAAATATCTGCAATTAATATCGAATCTGTCAAAAAAAAGAAATCTGAGAAAAATCAACCCAAAAATAAGATATTTTTTTTTAAAGCCTACTAGGTCATAGAATTTTAAAATATCACAAAATTAACTCTATCTCCTAAACTAAGCAAAATCGTATTATACACATGGAGGTGATTTAGATACACCTTGATGTAAGGAATCTAAATTTTTCTTTTAGACCTCACTGTTTTGGCCACCGTGTATATTTACTATTTATGTATTCGTCATTAGAGTGAATAGCCCAGAAAAAGAAATTAGTTTTTTTTAAAGGCCTTAATATTATGGCTTTATGTAACTTTTTAAACTTTAAATAAAACCCGTCATTATTATAAGCCATTTTATTGATGTTTACCTCTAAGATTAAAGTATTTCATTTCATTAATAGGAAATTGTTGTAGTTTTTTAATATCCGGTATCCGGCCGGATAGTGAGTTACTATCCGGTAACCGGCCGGATAGTAAATTTAGGCCGGATATCCGGCCTACCGGATAGTTGCCGGATATCCGTTTCATCTCTATTTAGTACACAATCATGTAGTAGTTTTTGCCTTGCCACGATCGACTGGACTAATATTCGCGATCAGCCGGTTGGCCACCCCTGCTATACACTAAGTACACACTCTACAGAAGAGACGTTGCAAGCATTAGTACAAAGATTGACGCCTGTATTCGGGTGACACATGAACCAATCACAGAGCTCTATTCAAAGCTGTGCGTTCGATTTGCTGCAAGCAAGCATCGTTTGTGAATACATCTGAGCATCTGACTAAACTTCGGCAGCTTATGATGTTGTAACAGATGTTATTTTGCATCAAAAATGTAGTTGATTGTACAGTGCTTGCGCCGTCACCAAACAATCATTCTCATAACAAGATCCTGTTATTGGCAAAGGTCACTACTTGCTATACACATTAACTATTTACGTATAGACTACAGAACATAAGACACATTTCAATGCGTTTTTTGCATTAGCATCAAGCATAATTCGTTGGAATAAGTGTTATTTTGCTTTAAAAATGTAGTCAAGATGTGCAGATAACTGTATGCTTGTTCTGTTACTCATCAGTTGTTGTTTCAAGATACCAATATTGTCAAAGGTTACTTATTTACCCTTTCAGAATGACTCATTCAAATGGGGACTTAACACAACATGTATTACATCTTTAACATATGATATTACTTAATAAAAAAACATATACAGATTATCTTATTATTCCTGAAAGTCATTACGTCACGTTTGCAATGTTCTACCCTTCTGAAAAAAAGTGGTTCGCGCCGCTACAGAGACAGGAGACCGAGACGGGAGACCGCAACCGTTACTTAACTAAGGGTTAAATTCGACCTAACAAGAGTAGTATTAATCTCAGAATAAATCGTCAGTAATTCCCCATACTGAAACTGTCAATGTGCCAATATCAGGAGTTATTCTCGGATAAAAGTTTGGTCGAATCGGGCCTAAGGCAGAGACCTGTCTCTGTCTTGCTCGCGAACAAACGCTTATAGCATTACTTAACTAAAATCAAGTAACGGTCGCGGCCTCCTCCTTACGATTTTACCTATTTTCTTGCGACCGTTAGGGCCTTGCCACACTGGCGGATTACAAGATTACAAGCGTTGCAATCTTTATTGCCAATTTGTATTGCCCAAATTACTAATAGTCCCATTAGCCCCTCGTGGTAAGCTAAATAAGCTTGTGTTACGAGTGGGCTCACCACAATAGTCGAGCGGCGGTGGGATTCGAACCCGCGTTCCTCGTATCTCGAGTCGGCCACACCGACCCCTTCACCGTTCGGCTATCGTGGTTATAAAATATTATAAATCTGCCAGTGTGTCAGCTCACTTAGTGTTAAGTTTAATCAATAAAGCTTTACTAAGTACTTGTTTATGTACTCACATTACTAAACTATGTATCTACCTTCACAGCCGGCCCGCCCAGGCCGCCGCCGGGTCGTGCGCCGCCTCGCATGCCGCCGGCGCCGCCGATGCCACGCGGCATGCCTGGCAAGACTAAGGTGATCAGCATCCTGGACCGCGCACGCAACGCCATGGAAAACTCCTATGGGGGCTATGAGGACCCGTACGCTATGCCGCCCGAGCCGCCGGTAAGTTTCATTGGACTAAAGCCTGGTCCGTGAGCACGTAGAATCCCGTCCAATGACCCCAAGCTGCCCATCCTTGTCGCTCGCACGTAATTATGTTGCTGACGCGCTCGCACACTCACTGCGGGCGCGCGTCGCACAGTCGCGACAGCAATATAATTACGCGCGAGCGAAAAGGATGGGTAGCTTGGGGTCATTGGACGGGATTCTACGTGCTCACGGACCAGGCTTTACCTAAAGCCTGGTCCGTGAGCACGTAGAATCCCGTCCAATGACCCCAAGCTGCCCATCCTTGTCGCTCGCACGTAATTATGTTGCTGTCGCGCTCGCACACTCACTGCGGGCGCGCGTCGCACAGTCGCGATAAGGATGGGTAGCTTGGGGTCATTGGACGGGATTCTACGTGCTCACGGACCAGGCTTTACATCATGGCAACACCAAGGTGATCAGCATCCTGGACCGCGCTCGCAACGCCATGGAAAACTCCTACGGGGGCTATGAAGACCCGTACGCTATGCCGCCGGAGCCGCCGGTAAGTTTCATTGGACTAAAGCCTAGTCCGTGAGCACGTAGAATCCCGTCCAATGACCCCAAGCTGCCCATCCTTGTCGCTCGCACGTAATTATGTGGTCATTGGACGGGATTCTACGTGCTCACGGACCAGGCTTTACATCATGGCAAGACCAAGGTGATCAGCATCCTGGACCGGGCTTGCAACGCCATGGAAAACTCCTACGGGGGGTATGAAGACCCGTACGCTATGCCGCCGGAGCCGCCGGTAAGTTTATTTTCCTGGTTGAAAGTGATGATCAGGCCAAAGGTGGAGGGCGAGCTTCATCTGAAATTCTCAACCACAGAGGAACTCTTAACATTCAGTTCCAAGTGAGTTTAACTTTTCCCCGTAAACTTGATCTTTACCTGTTGGATTTTTATCAGAGGCCTAGCTATAGATCCTGGTTATACAGGAGTTACAGCGGTGGGAATAATCATGGCCATTCAGTGTGTGCGAGACTTGCATACATTTATCATTTCTATCCTAACTTTTATTAAAATGTTTCTATTTTCTTTACAAGTTTTAACTAAAACAATACATCTCATAATTAATTTATTGTCAAGATCATTTGGCTGGCACTGACTGAGTATCTTATTAGTTATCAATAAATAACCAAAATGTGTTATGAATTCTACCGGATTTAACTAAGGAAGAAAATTACCTGTTATTCATTTCAATAAAATGGAAAATCTCAAAATCGATCGAAACAGTGTCATCCAGACGATCTCGGCAACTTAACAAATCGACCGCCATCAAACTAAAAGACACAACCGTGACCCAGGCGCCTTCCCAGGTGTCCCGCCAACCGCGCGGCCCACCCAGAGCCTCCGAACAAGAGTTCTACTACGATCGTCCCGACCGCTACTACGACGAGGGCTTCTACAAGCAAGAGGAGAGGCCCTTCAAGGCGTCAGCTCGTGATGTGGGCACCCGCAGGCCCCAGCCGCGGCCATACCAGCGCCACGAGCCCTACGCGCGTCCCAAGTAACTGAGTAGTACGTCGCGTGCATGCAGGCTCGTCACTGGGTGGTAGATCGTGATCGTTGTAGATTGGTAGACTGCCAAGACAAAATACAAAAGTATAGACGTCCTAGACTGAACCGTCCCGGCTATGATATTGTCAGGAGGACGGTACTATCAATAATGGATTATTAGTTCCGATTTTTTCCATGTTGGACAACATAGCTGGGCACCGTTAACCAAATAGTTAACTTCGTTAATCGTTAAACCGTTACTAAAAAACTTAACTTCGTTAAACGTTAAAACGTTACATTTAGGATGATTTAACGCAAGTTAACGTTAATCGTTAATCCGTTAACACGCGATAATAAAACGAAAAAAAATATTGTAATATACAAAGTTCAAATAATTTCGAAAGCTTGTAACGCGCATGGAATTTATTCCTCTTTTATGTTTACGCTACAAGCTTTCGAAATTATTTGAACCTTGCATAAGTACAATTATTTTTTTCGTTTTAGTACAACTGCATTTCAGAATAAAAGCTTTTATTATAATTTTATTATAGACTTTTGTATCTCAATCTCAGAGCCTTGGTACAAATACAATTTAGCACCAAAGTGCTCGAACAGACAAATCCAACAAACCCAAACTCGATAAGTTTCCACCGTTTCGTTTAGGAATTCCTATGGCCACCTCTTGACTCCATCATCAGGACCCTGGACATCATCTAGTACTAAAGTGCTCAAAATTACAAATCCTACGAACCCAAATTCGATGCGATTCCGCCGTTTCATTTAGGAGTTTCTATGGCCACCTCCTGACTCCATCATCAGACCAGCTCAATGGTACCATAACATTGCTTTGTCATCGTACTTACATAAGTATGGTATCCTTCCGTTTGGCCAAATTACTTTTCGCCAAATTTCACTTCGCAAACAACTTATCGCCAAAGTTTCATTTCCCAAATGAACTTTTAGCAACTGTACTTTTCGCAACTGATTCATTTGGTCAAATTATCATTTGGCCAAATTTTACTTGGCAAATGTTTATATAGCAAATGTTTTATGTTGCCAAATATTATATCCCAAATAATTTTTTTGGTCAAATTGACACTTCACATACTTACCCACCGTTACCCACAAATCAAAGCATAAGGCACATGATCATGGTTTTCACAATAATTTTATGTAAAACATTGCAGAAAACAGTATGGTTGCAAAAAGTAGGTATTGCAGAAAATAGTAGGTTAGGTTAGGTTAGAACAGTGACCCTTAATGCGCGAAGGCGAGCGAAGCGTGCCGCGGCAGCGGCCGCCGAGCGCTAGATCACCTCTATTGTTAATTAATCATTTGGAAATTTCGATACAAAGAATGAAATAAGGAAATTAATGTAGAACAAATTTTATATTAACTCCCCACTAAACAAAATAATAACCATAAGCTAATTTATATACCATTCTATGCACCAATCAAATTATTTTGTAAATAGTTTGTCGTGAAATATTTTTGCCTAATGAAACATTTGGCAAACCATACTTTGCCAAACAATAATTTGCTAAACAATAATATGCCAAAAAAAACATTTGCGAATTAAAAGTTTGCAATAAGTTGCTTTGCCAAATGAGAATTTGCCAAATGAGAATTTGCCAAATGAAAATTTGCGAAACGTTGTTTGCGATGTGATAATTTGGGAAACGTTTTTTGGCCAAACATTAGTAATCCACATAAGTATACCCGGCTCAATCGGTTGAGGAAAACTGGTCTTAAATTCAGTTGTAAATAAATAAAAAAAATGCATTTTTAATATCGTTGCGTTGGTTTGTTTGTTTTGTAACCAAATTTTACAAAAACTGTTGTTTTGGGTTCTGGAAGTTCTGGAAACCCGAGCCCCGAACGTACTTGTCAGAATGCGTTTATCAGCGTGTCTGCTGTATCTTTTTGGTAAATAGTAGGTGCTGGATTAACGATTAACGGACTTAGGATAATTTAACGGAAGTTAACGAGTCCGTTAACATTTTTTAAAGTTAACTTAAAAGTTAATCCGTTAATATAAATGTTAACTTCGTTAATTAACGATTAACGGATTAACGAGTTAATGCCCAGCTATGTTGGACAACCATATAATTATGACATTTACAAGAGGGCGCTACTATCAATACAGAGCCCCGATTACGGTAATTTTTAACGTCGCCAATCCAGACACGCTTCTCGATTCTGCGATACGATTGGTCGTTCAACAGCGTACGTCAGCTGTTTTGACCAATCGTATTGCACAATCAGAAACGCGTCTGGATTGTAGACGTTAAAAGTTACCGTAATCGGGGCTCTGGATTGTTTGTTTTTGATTTTTGCCACTTGACATTTCAGAATCGTTGGACAATACATACATTATTTTATATGTCACCAAATGCCCTATTTACCCCACTGCGCCAGAAGGAGGGTTATGTTTTTTATAAAATACATTTCTAAATAAAGCAGTATCATTTCTATAACGATCAATTCTTGATAGACTTCTGAACATTTTTGTCTTGAGATTATTATTATCAAGCTCATATGAAGTCATGAAATGAAATCCAGTGACTGGTCGCACCTCTGCACACATTTTTTTTATTTTGCTTCTTATTTTAATTTTTATGGCCAATGAGATGTTATTTATTTCAAAAATGATTTCTACAATTTATACAAAAATATATTTAAAAAATGTTTAGAACTAAACTAAAAGGTTTGGATTTCTTTTAAAGGGAAGTTGATAATATACATAATTATTATCCTTTTTATGGTGCGTTATTTCATTGGGCACCTTTACAAATCATAAAGAATGGTATGGAACTTGTCTTGCATGACTAGTTTATAAAATAACATCCATACTTACTGGCCACTTAATTTAAGTTGCGAGTTACATTTAATTTTGCTTCAATTAGCTATTTAATAATTATTATATTATTTGATCACTCTCACTCAGTTTTCACACACATTCCAGGGATTCGTCATCAAAGAGGCAGCGATCACAGCAATAGCCTGGTGAGTACAGCAGCTTAAAAGAAAAACCCTAAACTTCAAGAAAAAAACAAGACAAAAATAACAAAAAAATACTAGGATACGCAAAAGCACCCTATCCCATGGACGTCGAAAGTACACATTCTAAAATTTAGAATTTAAAATAACTTTTCTTGGACCCCAACATTGTTCGGTTCAAAAATAATTATTATTATCAATTGGTAAAATTACCAAACTTTATTGACGGAAAATACACACAAATGTGTTACTGGGAATAGAATTAAACTTATATTTTTAATTAAGAATATCTTAGTTTTAGTTCAAACATGAAAATTTGAGTTATGCTTACAGTGAGAAAAACTAAAATTTTGGATTATATCACTATTAAAAATTAAATTACCTTCGGTAGTTTCGAAAGAACAAAAACTTTTACTAAATCAAATATTGTATTAATTAAGAAGTTTGAAATTAGTGTTAGATTAAATAAAAATTATAATTTCAACATGTTTTGATTAAATAAACAACATAAAATTACTATCCACTAGTAATAAAAAAGAGAGGCAGGGGCGCAAAAGATAGTAACACCATAAAAATATCAAAATGTAACAAATTGTTATTAAACATCTTAAACGTAGCCCCTCTTCTTGCAATTAATGTTAAAACATGTTGAACATAATTCATTTTAGGCAAAAATTATGTATCGCATCTTTGTGTGACTATGAAATAAATAGTATTAAAAATAAAAAATCGATTTTTAATTTCGAAGGAGAAATGAATTTTAAGAAGCTAAAGGCATTGGCAGAATTGGACAAACAGAAAACTTGATACTACCTATTATTAAATAACTTAGAAAAAATATCCTAACCATTTAGCTCAGGCTATAATGCAAAAGGCCTAAAGCCTGGTCCGTGAGCACGTAGAATCCCGTCCAATGACCCCAAGCTACCCATCCCTATCGCGTTATGTTGCTGTCGCGCTCGCACACTCACTGCGGGCACCCGTCGCACAGTCGCGACAGCAATATAATTACGCGCGAGCGATAAGGATGGGTAGCTTGGGGTCATTGGACGGGATTCTACGTGCTCACGGACCAGGCTTTAGTTCTTGAAATAATAATATGCCAATGTTCTTCCAATATGTAATTAATTGGCTACTGTTTTGAATTTAGTAAAAATAAATTTTATAAAATCCGATTTGTATGAAAATTAAAATAATTAAAATGAAGATATCAATTTTCTGACTTCACCATACCATTTATATGACCATGTTAACATGGGCTAGTGTCGGCTCATATACCCATTTACCTAACACCCTGTATAATTTTTGAACACATTTAAGATCAAACAGGTCATTTTGTAAAATAATTCTATTGAAACATTGCTAAATGTTAACAAAGAAATGGACACCTATCTCAGTGGTATTACAATTCAATTAAATCTTTTTATGTAAGTACATTGACAAGACAAGACAAACATTTAAAATTAACTCAATGAGCACTAACGAGAAAAAATAGAAAGATTACTACGCTACGACACAGTGAGGTGATGCTGTGCAGTGTACCTCAAAGCCTTTGAAAGACAGATAAATATTTGTAAAAACAGTAATATGTATTAAAAATCATATTTTTTGATTTTACAAATTGATCAAATGTATCAGAAAACGGATTTTCAATCATTCTAAAGTTCTGATTATTTTAACAAATGTCGATTAGTAGGTACTTAGACGACGATTTTAGATTGCTGTTTACCTTTGGGCACTAAACGTTCCTGATCAGAAATAAAATCGAGTATAATATTAGGGTGCAAGAAATAATTGTCCACAAAATAACACTACCCCTATATGGAAAGATCAACCTCATCATGATAACACAAAATAATAACATGAAAACAGAAGAGTAAAGAAATAATTGGGAACCATGGTAATTGACTACAATAAAAAAGGAAACAAAATTTACAACCAGCAATAAAATACAGCGTAAACTGTAACAAAGGAGAACAACAATTACCAAAAACAATAAATCCTGAACCAAAAGAACCTGCAAAATGGTGAGTAAAGAAGTTCATATAAAAATACTAATCAAGTAAATACCATCGTTTGGAGTTACATACCGTAGAAATTTTTTTTTTAACAGTATTTATAACGTGTCATCGGTTATGGACCGATATAAATTGTACCAGGTTCGATTCCTAATTTAGTACAAATTGCTGGGCGAAATAATCTGTTTGAGCTATCAGGTGCAGACTAAAGAGTATTGATATAATTTTAGTAACGCTCTACCTTGGAAAATCCAATTCTCGCGTTCCCTAACCTAAATACATCGTATAAATAAATTCTGTTCTGTTTTAAACGTTGACCTTTTTGTCGTCGCGTCCTGATAGTTCAAGAAAATAACCCAATGTTTTCCAACTTCAATCTACCTACATAAAAACAATGAATATGCAGAAGATGAAGTCCCATTTTTACTAACCCATAGTTCCTGGAAGATATTTTCGTGGCTATCTCGGTTTGCGTTTCACCATAATAGTTTCCTTGATTGCACTGACCAGTTGGCGGCACTAACGAGTGATAGGACGTTTTTCGACTCTGCCACCAAGGCTCCTAACGCTTCAGCGCTCATCAATTGCGGGACTATTCCCGCCTCTGTTTCTCACCACTGCAACTCCTGTGTAGCCAGGATCTACAGCTTGACCGCCAATAAAAACCCAACCAGTGAAGGTCAAGTTTGTCCCAGGGGAAAGTTAAACTGTCATTGGACCCGCAACGAAATTAATCAGAACATTGGAGTTCGAAGTTAAGGTTTCGATTTCCCTCCGTTGCAAAGCGGATGACAGGCAGCATTTGTCAGTTGGCTTGGCACCATTTGTCTTAACTCATATTAACCAAAAGCAAGCGATAGGACCTTATTCGCCAGTAGCGCCAACTGGCGAACACACAAGGAAACCATGACTGTAGCTTCTCTAAATGCTCGATGCCATTCAACGTATTAACGGGAAATCCCTTCCAGGAACTGAGGCAGGGTCTTGGGGTAAAGTAAAGGTGAACGCGCACCTGTCCGCGCCGCAGTCATCGCACTTTATAAATATTTACTATGAAATAGTATAGAGCATCGAGCTCCATACGCGCCGCATTTTCCTAAAATGATGTAGGTATACTGATGCCACAAGCTGGTGCGGATGACGTCATGAAATTCGGCGCGTTCGATGCCGGTGCGCGTCCACCTTTAGGCAGCTTTCTGTGTGAACTCTACTTTGGTAACTTAATTTGCTTGTGATTTTTTATAGGAACAAGTTACGTATTTTCAATAAACGTTTTACTAAACTGCAAACATCGTTTTATTTGAAAGCCCTTTCAAAAGAAACTCAAGTTTAGTTATACAGTTATTTATTGATATTAAATTAATATGGTTCTTTAAAAAATAAATAAGCAAGCTTTAATAACAAATAGTCTTGACAAAAACCGTTAAGTATTAGTTTCATTAAACATATTGCATTTCGGCTTATAGCTATCCTTTACAAAAAGTTTTATACTTAACCGAATTCACTTATACATACATAACAGAAATGAGAAGGTACCAATCATTTCAACGATGTTAGTATAATCTCTTACACACATGCATTTTTTTCTTAGCTTATGAAGGTGATATTCTTATAATGCATACAGACATTTCTTACTGAGTAGGTACTTACTATTTGACAATATTTCATATTTATTTAAAAATAATCATTTCAAGGAGACTTACTCCATGAAATATTTGTCAATATAGAGCCACAGAACTAATGCCAACATTTCGTTTAGGCTTTGAAGGTGGACAATTTGCAAGTGTATTCCAAGACAGTGCTTTTTAGTGCAAAACTACAGAAAGTATGAATGTTGACATAATCTATGATGTAAAAACTATACTTTTACTTATCTAACCTCACCACATGAGATGAAAGAGGAACAATTAATTGTAACATTTTCAAAACCATTTTTGTTATTTGCTAAGGACTATTCCTATTAGACTGCCTTTTAGATTTTGTAAAAGCAGGTTTGATGCAGACTGTCCAATTCACAAATTAGTCACACTCAGATAAAAGTTAGCCTGCCATTTTGAAACAATAGTTCAACTTGTAGGTCAAAAACGTTGTGCAACTTTTATCCGTTCCCTGTCTGAATGGGACCATTTTTTTAATTTGTGACAAAATGTAAATAGGATGGTCTGCGTCAAACCCAAGTTGTTCCATGTTCCAAATCACCTCCTTGCAGTAAACCACAACGCTAGATCATGTCCAGTTCTATGGGTGCCTAGTCTGAAGTGTTCTGTATCACTATAAGAATGAATTCTCGGTCTGGAGCGATTAGTATTTCGTGACGTCTACTTCTCACACGGAGGAATGTCAGCTCATTTGTGGAATCCTGGAAAGAAGGAAAAAATTTATGTAGGTAAGTGAATTCCTTATTTTTTGGTAATATCTTGAAAGATCGTTAGTTCACACACAAAACTGAAAATTTGATATTGATCTCATTAGTAAAAGTAGGTAGTGTACCAAACTTAGGAACTAGTACTTGTTGAAATTGGGTAGAACTTGACACCTTACCATTTCCCGCACAACATTCCTTGCTTTCTCAGTCAGTTGTCCAATTAGGCCCGCGTATAAAACTGAAGTTGCATTATCTAGAGAGCTTTTGATGGGAATGCCTGTAAATTAGAAAGTTCAGATCTTGTAACTTGGTACCAAATAGGTTGTGATAGACATTATGGAACTATAATCATAGACATGTAATACGAGGTTTATAAAACTGAAATTAATCAATGTAGCCATGGAAATGCATGAAATCGACCAAACCTTCATGATTAACTATCACTACGCCCATAACACCTTTGTGGGCTTGAATTCTCTTGATTGTTTCCTCTACCTCGGTGGCCTGCAAAGGATAGTATTTTCCAATTAATACACAGCACTGTCAGAAAGAATAAATTCACTTTAGAAGAGGTTAAATCACCATTTTCACTTATTTTTAGTGGATTCTGCAAAGTGCAAACAGCAGCAACAAACTTTACCAAAAATGACAGAAGCTCAGAAAACGATGACAAATCAGTCGCGGGGTACAGATTAAAATGCATGAAATAACGGAATTCATCGGAACTAACATACTGACTCGTATTGCAGGGCAATAAAGGCGACTTTCGTGTAAAAATACTACACCAGCGCTATTTCCGGTTCATTTCAGTACTGATATTTATAGAGTGATAAGAGCTGACATCACTATTTTCACTTGATATTTCACATTTTTTGACATTTGAACCCGAAAAGGAGAGCTTTGTCTGTGGATTGCGGCTCGGCAATTTTCAGGGTTGGCGATTATCGAACTGAACAAAAAAACTTTTTAGTTTGGTTTATGCAGAACCGTAAAGTGGAGGATGGAATGAGTTCACCAAGAAAAACATTATCATAACCACGAAAACAAACCTTCGTCCAAATAAAGCTGGCTAAAATGCACTTGGCTTAATTTAACAATGAATGATAGCGGTGCTGAATGCTCAGAAGCCTTGGATCCTCGAGTTCAGGCAAGTTGAATCAATAAAACCCATCTATTGATGTTCGAAAGAGACAATTTGATAGGGTCAATGGCACTAGAGCTAGGGCAAATAATTTGTATGAACTCAATTTTATATTGTCAGTATCTAGATGTATTTCTGTAATAAATGAGTTCTGTTTTGTTATGCAACAAGCTTTTCATGCAATGATTATAATCAGTTCAACAGCTGTTTTTGTATCTTTAACAATTTAAATTGTTGAAATAACATTTTTTGAGAGCTGTATTACAAGTTTGTTGGGAGCTATTTTGTCTTATATTGAAGTGTTCTATTTATAAAAATATAAAAAGTAACTTTTTTTATAACACCTGTATTATAAAAATAATAATCTTACTAAAAATAGGGTTGATGCTATTAGAATTTTGTTTTCATTTTTTATGTAAGCCTTTCTTTTGTTTATTTAGTTTTTTAAATGAGCTATGTGCCTTGCATTAATTAATTCATGGATTTAACATAATCCTACACAGTGTATATAAAATTGTTGTTAATGTTAATTAAATCAATTTGTAAGGGATCAAATTATTTATAATTTATTGGGAAGGCAGTATCACTTCTTTTTTTAATAATTAATTTTTTTTTTTTAAATTCTACAGATAGAGCTAGAACGCCTTAACACTGCCACAGACGAGATCAACAGGCTAGAAGTAGAGCTTGACGAAGCCCGGCTGGCGTTCAGACGGTTGTTGGCAGAAGGACACCTCCGGATCCAACAGCTAACGAAGAAACTTGGCACCAGCGTACATAAAGCCCGGCCTTACTATGAAGCACGATTTAGAGCTAGTATTGTGAGTAACATAATTGGGGCAACTGTCACATCTCCCTTTACTTTAGCAAAAGGTCTAATTTTATTATAATTAGTTTCTAAAGTAATATTTAAATCTAAAAACACCAGAATTTCCTATTCTATTTAATGTATTACTGCTGTTCATATTTGGAGATAATATTATATCTGGCAATTCTTCTATAATTTATACTCTAATTATGAGCTAAAGACATCTGCGAAGCTACTCTTAAAACCATTATCCAAAGTTTAGAATATTTCCATCCTTCTCACAGAAACCAATATCTCAAAACTACTTAAACGGGGTCATGGATTAGCCCAGCTGATAACATAATGGTGCTAATTTACTCCCAATCTTTCCAGACGTCCCAAGAACTCCAAACGGCCACAATCGCCTACGACAAAGCCAACAGTGCGCACTCGGCCGCGCGCGAAATGGTGTACCTGGCCGAGCAGGGGCTGGCGCGGCTTGCGGAAGGCTCGCAGGGAGGCCTCACGCTTGACCCCGCCTGGCAGGAGATGCTCAACCACGCCACGCACCGCGTCAACCAGGTAGCAGGGAGATAGGTGTTCTTAAAGCAGTGGTTCTTAACCGCTGGTCCGCGGACCACTGGTGGTCCCTGGAGGCATTCCAAATGGTCCACGAAGTGCCCTTGCACACCTTGGTCAAAACCACTTTCAACTGATTTTTGCAGTCAAACTGGTTTTGACCGATTATGAGGTGGTCCCTGACAAGACAGAAATTTGGTAAAATGGTCCCTCATGACTTAAAGGTTAAGAACCACTGTCTTAAAGGCACCACCGAGCACCTACAGGGCGGCCTCACTCTTGACCCCGCCTGGCAGGAGATGCTCAACCACGCCACGCACCGCGTCAACCAGGTAGCAGGGATATATGTTCTTAAAGGCATCACCGAGTACAAGTCGCTAGCATCACCGAGTACAGGTCGACTGCATTGCATTATTTACTTATTTATTTAAACTTTAGCACACATAGAAACAATGCACTGTGGCGGACTTAATGCCGGATGCATTATCAAGTTCAAGTCGCTCGCATTATTTAGTACAGGTCGCTAGCGTGTCCGAGTATAGGTCGGTTGCATCACTATTTACAGGTCGGTCACATTATCAAGTACAGGTCGGTTGCATCATAGAGTACAGGGCGGTCACATCGCCGAGTACAGGTCGGTCGCATCATTAATTACAGGTCAGTTACAGTATTAAGTACAGGTCGCTTGCATTACAATATTTCAATGAATCTTCCTGCGAAATACAAAATGTAAAATCAAAACTCATCACTACTAACTGGTCAATCCCCCAGGGAAGTATCTTAGGATGCATACTTTTTTTGATATACATCAATGATTTACCTAAAGTATGCAACACACTTAGCGTATTATATGCAGATGATGTATCCCTACTATTTAAAATACCAAATTGCGACTCAATCAATATCCTTAATAACATAACTGAATCTTATAACACATTAAAACTTTGGCTCCAACAACATAATCTCGAAATTAACAATAAAAAAACTAAACTAATCCAATTTAAACCTTATCAATAGAAACAACTTAACCTTAACTCTGTAACTAAAACAATAAATGTACAAGAAATAAACGAGTTTACTCTTCTAGGCATCACATTAGATACTCACCTGAACTGGAAAAAACATGTTGAAGTAGTAAAATCTAAAATATCTCAATTCTTATATGCGTTAAGCGTTCTAAAAACCAATTCATCAAAAGAAACCGCCTTCTCAGCTTACTACGCCTATGCGTACGCCTGGCTACGCTACGGCATCATCATGTGGGGTCATAGCTGTGATCAATGATATTATATAAAAACAATTAATATCATTGGCTGTGATTTTCCAGACTTATTCATTATGCAAAAGAAATGCTTAAGAATAATTATAAATATAAAACAAAGAGTCAGTTGCAAACCACATTTTATTAATGAAAAAATGTTAACTCTACCATCTATTTATATTTTAGAAGCAGCAATATTCGTAAGAAAGCACATGTACTTATTCCAGCAAGATCCAAACCCCCGCCGCAGGACTAAACTTCTCCTTCCAACCCCTAACTGTGAAATGTTTAGAAATAGCCCGGCATATCGTTGCATACAAATTTTTAATAAACTTCCTGATAGTATAAAAAATATAGATATATATAGATAACATTCATATATTTAAACAAAAGCTTAAAGCATTCCTAATAAATAAATGTTTCTATAGTGTTAAAGATTTTATGGAAGATAAATAATAGTTTTTGTTAGAAGTAGTAGAGGTATATATTGTCATTTGTTATATAAATATAATATAATATTTTATATAAATCTATTAATAACTGAAATAAGTATGTAAGATAACATATAGTACCTACTTAATATGTAAGTAGATTGCTGTACCCAACCGGGTGTGCATTAGTTACCTAAGTTACCTAGTTTTAAGTTTCTTAGTGTACAATGTATTTTATTGCAATAAATAAATAAATAAATTATCGAGTACAGTCACTCGCATCACCGAGTGCAGATTGGTTGCACTATAGACATCAATGAGAAGGGACTATCTCACATGATATCTAGAATTTCGTCTCATTCAGCTTACTCATGGCAGGTACGACTGGTTGCCTTTATAACCGGCGGAGATTCTTCATTGCTAACTGATAAACTCTGGGCAAATAAATTATATCCAACAATCAGTATGACAGTTAAATGGAAAGTTTTTGTACTTTTAAGAGTAGGCGCACACCGTTGATTTTTAGTTGGCCGATAGTTGTGCCCGATTTTAATTTGTATGAAGAATCGGCCAAATTGAATCGGCGTAGTGTGCGCACTCCCATACATGCCCATACTGATCAACTGCCCAACTAAACTATCGGCCGACGAAAAATCAACGGTGTGCGCCTACTCTAAAGGCAAGTTAAGTGTTATGGTCTGAAATAAATTACTATTTATTTATTATGTGTTTTTATTTAGATGTATCTTGAAATTATTGGTAAATTACCTAATTAATGTCGCAAATAAATAATTTGTCCCCAGGCGGAGGCCGAGCGCGCCAACGCGACGGTGACGCAACGCACGCGCCAGGCCGCGCACCGCGCCGCCTCCGCGCTCGTGAACCAGCTGCAGAACTCGCTCAAGAGGCACATCGCCAAGTCCAGGTCAGAACCGTTGATAAGCAGAAAACAGGATAGGTCCACTACACCTACGTTATAGCCAAGATGCAACTACTAGTCACTATGTCAAAATAAATAAAGATAATGTAGTAGTACTGACGAGTACAGTTCGCATCGCCTACAGGTCAGTTACATCGCTGAGTACAGGTCAGATAGATCAGTGAGTACAGGTCAGATAGATCAGTGAGTACAGGTCAGTTAGATCAGTGAGTACAGGTCAGTTAGATCAGTGAGTACAGGTCAGTTAGATCAGTGAGTACAGGTCAGTTAGATCAGTGAGTACAGGTCAGTTAGATCAGTGAGTACAGGTCAGTTAGATCAGTGAGTACAGGTCAGTTAGATCAGTGAGTACAGGTCAGTTAGATCAGTGAGTACAGGTCAGTTAGATCAGTGAGTACAGGTCAGTTAGATCAGTGAGTACAGGTCAGTTAGATCAGTGAGTACAGGTCAGTTAGATCAGTGAGTACAGGTCAGTTAGATCAGTGAGTACAGGTCAGTTAGATCAGTGAGTACAGGTCAGTTAGATCAGTGAGTACAGGTCAGTTAGATCAGTGAGTACAGGTCAGTTAGATCAGTGAGTACAGGTCAGTTAGATCAGTGAGTACAGGTCAGTTAGATCAGTGAGTACAGGTCAGTTAGATCAGTGAGTACAGGTCAGTTAGATCAGTGAGTACAGGTCAGTTAGATCAGTGAGTACAGGTCAGTTAGATCAGTGAGTACAGGTCAGTTAGATCAGTGAGTACAGGTCAGTTAGATCAGTGAGTACAGGTCAGTTAGATCAGTGAGTACAGGTCAGTTAGATCAGTGAGTACAGGTCAGTTAGATCAGTGAGTACAGGTCAGTTAGATCAGTGAGTACAGGTCAGTTAGATCAGTGAGTACAGGTCAGTTAGATCAGTGAGTACAGGTCAGTTAGATCAGTGAGTACAGGTCAGTTAGATCAGTGAGTACAGGTCAGTTAGATCAGTGAGTACAGGTCAGTTAGATCAGTGAGTACAGGTCAGTTAGATCAGTGAGTACAGGTCAGTTAGATCAGTGAGTACAGGTCAGTTAGATCAGTGAGTACAGGTCAGTTAGATCAGTGAGTACAGGTCAGTTAGATCAGTGAGTACAGGTCAGTTAGATCAGTGAGTACAGGTCAATAGCATCACCGAGAATAGGTTGGTCGCAAACCAATAATAAACATCACCAGGCTGTTGCGGAACGCGCTCGTGAACCAGCTGCAGAACTCGCTCAAGCTCAAGCGGCACATCGCCAAGTCCAGGTCAGAACCGTTGATAGGCACTAGGCAGATAACAGAAGGATAGAATCCTCACTATTAGATAGGTTATACCGAGTAGGACAACCACTGCACAACCTTTATAAAGTCCGGTCGCCGAACAGATACAAATTCTTCCAATGATTCCAAGCTACCCATCCTTATCGCTCACGCGTAATTATATTGCTGTCGCGCTCGCACACTCCGTTACCGTGTATGGTCGCATTGCCAAGTGCAGTAATCGCTACGCCAAAGTTAACAATTTTAATGTTTTATGAGTTATGAAAATCCTCAAAATTCAATTTGAGCTATTTGCAAAATTAACTAAGCTGTTGTATTTTTAAAGCTTGCGAATTAATGAACACTGATTTTTCTATTAGTTTTCTATTCTGTAGAAATTTAGATACTGTATTAGTATTAATTTTCACTATGACACTAATATTTTTATTACTTTTAGCTTAAAGGTGCAAAAGTTATTTTTTGTTATTTCGTGCAAGCTGGCGAAAATATTTTTGAAATAAAAAGCTCTTCTAAAACTGATTTAAGTACACAAACCTTAAATCATAAAACCTTAAACTCTTCTTTGACTTCGGAGTAGTCTAGTATAAATTAGAAGTCGTAATAGCCATAAAAACGCTTTTTTAACGAGCGCTTTTTCTGCCTATGCTGTATAAATGTCGCAGTCGGATTGTATAATCCGCCGTTTTACATTACCACTAGGCATTTTACATTACATCTCTGTTTTGTAATACGGCGGTTCAACGTTTAGGCGGATTGTAATTGCGATACGTTCTTCAATACGGCGGCCCACGTTTAGCCGCATCGTACCTACTACTATAGATTGTAGGGTGACCATTAGGGTGGTCCTTATTCCTACGAAAAAAATTTTTTTTTTCTTGTATTTTGCGGGGCATCACATAATTTGAATATACAGGGTGTTAGGTAAATGGGTATATGAGCCGACACTAGCCCATGTTAACATGGTCATATAAATGGTATGGTGAAGTCAGAAAATTGATATCTTCATTTTAATTATTTATTTTTCATACAAATCGGATTTTATAAAATTAATTTAGTTAGGTTATTTTTCTTTAAGATAAAATTATCTTCACTGGCCATAGCCATGATTTCATATTTTTACACTAATAATATTGTGTAGGATTCCGCCGAACATCAGAATCCATAGCCACTTTGTCCGGCAGCGCCACGGTATTAAAAATAGGAACTAAAAACTGTCAAAGCGGCGGGTAATGACACGCTGTTTTACATTACGGCTAGCCGTATTGAAGAACGTTTGACGCCGAATACATTCCGGCGAATTTTCATTCAGCCGTATTCAATCCGGCTAAACGTTAATCCGCCGTATTACAAAACAGAGCTGTAATGCAAAATGCCTAGCTGTAATGTAAAACGGCGGATTATACAATCTGACTGCGACATAAACATGACAACATTCAACATTTTTGTAGGCTTTTTTGTTGAATGTTAACATTTTATTTTTATTTATTGGTTTACCAACAATTGTACAATAATACATACAATATAACAAAAAAAATCCATTGATACTATGTTCTAAGAGTACAATATATAATAGTAGGTAAACACTGCATGCGTTTATATAAACCAAACCATTCAAAGAAAGTAAGTACTTAGTCTAAAAACTGAATTGCAAAGCAACGAGCAACCACAAGGCTGCTAGTGAGTGCCAAGATAGACAATAGTTAGCTAATTAATTAAGTTAGGTTATTTGGTTAATCTGACGACGGAATTTAGAAATATTTGTGCCAAACAAATTAACATCAGCGCTGAGATTATTATATGACTTACACAGTCTTGAAACAGGGGAGTTAGATCCTGATACAGTTTTACGGTAAGGAGGGCATAGCAGTTTAATATGGTACCTTGGGTATCTGTGAGGGATTTTAAGTTTAAATTTAGAAAGTAGATTGGGGCTATCAACCTTACAGTTTAAAATTCTGAACAAAAAAGTTAAATCATGGGTAGATCTACGTGCTTCTAGGGATTTTATTTTAAAGTGAGCAAGACGCTTTGTATAACTAGGGATCTTTTTTGTTATTTTTGCCGAGAAAACATGTTTTTGTTGATTGTGTAGAGCAAAACACATGCTGGAGACCCGGCTTAAAAAATAACTTTTGCACCTGTACCTACCGTAGGCACCGTAAGCTTGTCTAGTGGCACGTGTCTTGTCCGCAGGTCCGGCCGCACTGCTAGCACACGTTTGGTACATACATTGATTTTTCTAAGCATGTTCTGTTCTGTCACTAACTTATGTTTCTAACTGTATCTTTTTAGTTATATTCAACTAATAATTTAGTGTGATTAACCTCTGCATGTATGTATAAATTGCTTACTTAATTAGTTGTATACTTGTTTGGCTTACTTTTCACCAACTTATTTCTTTTTCTTGTATTTTTCAATGCGATATGGTGCCAGGGTGCTATGATATGAAGGTGAAGACTTAGAACGGTCAATAGAGAAAGATTCTGAAATATAGTAATAGATCTGTCTCTCGCAAAGTGGATAAATTATACAATAGAAAGACTATCGGATTTGATGTCTGTATACCCATTTACAGCTATAGTTTAATATCCTGTAGTATTTAGTACCTTACAAATTACATTTTAAAAAATCTGTTACCTCAATAGCTTCGGCATAATCATGAATTATTTGACATCTGAACCCTCAGCCGTGTGAAGGTTTTCAGACCAATAGTGTTTGGTTTTACATACTGTTTTCAAATTATTACCATGCCAAAGCCATGGAATGTGGCTGGGCTTCAAACTTTCCTCTATTGACCGGTCTCGTCCTCACCTCTTTTACATCCTCAACCAGCTCCAAACCTTCCAGGCCATACTTCGAAGAGAAGGCTCGCATCAACGCGGCCCTAGAGCACCAGAAGGCCCGCATCCAGACCTTGGAAGAGCAGGTGGCTGAAGCCAAACAGCAGTACTCGTCGGCCCTCAGGAATCTGGAGAGGATATCCGATGAGATACACAGGCATCGGTCCAGGAGACAGTCTACTAGGAATGGTAAGTACTTGTAGCGAAGAAGGGATCTGAAGTCTGAAACTTGAAGGCATGATTTATTTTATAGGTCGCACAACGAGAGTTGAGGCCGTCAACACACACAAAAAATTGTAACGAATCAAAAAACTGGGCCTTAGAGTAGAGAATAAAATTAAATTTTATAAAAAAAAATAAAACCGACTCCAAAAAACCTACACTAAAAAGCAGAATAATAATTACTAATTACCTACTTATTTATTAGGACGAATTATTAATATTTATGTAGGTATACCATGATTGATACTTTTGGAGTCGGTGCAGGCAAACTTTACATGTTTCATAATCTTGGCACCGACTCCAGAAGTATCAATCATGGTATACCTACATAAATATTAATAATTCGTCCTAATAAATAAGTAGGTAATTAGTAATTATTATTCTGCTTTTTAGTGTAGGTTTTTTGGAGTCGGTTTTATTTTTTTTTATAAAATTTAACTTATTTCTTGCTTTTTAGTTGACTAATTATTACCTTGATGTTACCACTGAAGGTAGGCAGTACATTGAGACCATATTCTTAATGTATATTATAAAAAAGTTCATCCCCAATTTTCCACCCTTGGGGGTGAAAATTTTCTTCAAATTCGCATGAAACCACCCTTTTGTTAATACCTATTCAACAAAAAAATAATCGTTCAAATTGGTTCATAATCGGCGGAGATATTGCGTATAAAAAAGTTCATCCCCAATTTTCCACCCTTGGGGGTGAAATATTTTCTTCAAATTCGCATGAAACCACCCTTTTGATAATACCTATTCAACAAAATAGTAATCGTTCTAATTGGTTTATAATCGGCGGAGATATTGCGTATAAAAAAGTTCATCCCCAATTTTCCACCCTTGGGGGTTTGTTTTTTTTATTATTAAATTTAAATGGGACCACCCTTGAGATATTACCTATACGCTGAAAAAAGATTTGTTCAAATCGGTTCATAATTGGCGGAGCTATCGCGTAACAAACATAGAAAAAAAAAAAAAAACATACGGGTCGAATTGAGAACCTCCTCCTTTTTTTGAAGTCGGTTGAAAATTGAAGTTTAAAATAATTACGGGGACGTCCACCTACGAGGTGGACCAACGACATCGTAAAGGTAGCAGGGAAACGCTGGACGCAGGCCGCTACCAATCGATCAACATGGAAAGCATTGGGGGAGGCCAATGTTCAGCAGTGGACGGCCTATGGCTGAAATGATGATGATGATGATGATGAAAATAATTAACCATTTTATCATGTTAAAGTTTGTCAAAACTATAATTAATTATTTTACTTTCTATCGACATTTTTCAAAGCTATCTACACATAGCTACATAACTATCTGTGTTTTGGGCTTCACTAAGGATGATGGAAGACGAAAAAGAAGAATCTATAATGTCTAATTTTCGTCCTTTTCAGATATAGACCGTTCCACAATAACGGATACGGCGAGCGACACCAACACCACGGCCAGCGACAAACTAGAGGAAATCTGCGACCACAGCGCCGACGCGAACGTTCGCGAGTGGCTGCGGAGGACCGAACATTCGCGCCCGCGCTGCTTGCAAGACTCCGACACCTGGACTGAGATTGACCTGGATTATTCTAGCCCAGAAGAGGTAAGTCTAAATCAATGAAGGCTGTACTAGAAGCTTCAGAAGACAGCAGATTGAGACTGAGAGACCTGGATTATTCTAGGCCTGATGTAAGTTAACAGTGACCTCCAAATGAGGTCATCTGCAGGACTATTAAGTTTCTTGCGCTGTTTACTCGCCGGACTAACTCTGGCACGGTTAAAATTTGGGACGCCTAAAAACACTTGAAAACCATGAGAATGAACATTATGTATGTTTTGTTAGAATGATAATATGTTTTGACCCAGCTGTCATCTAACTCAGTATGTCGTACTAATTACTGAACATCCCCCAAGATATTAATAATAAGAAAAAAAAACGTTTATTTGAGCCAAAAGTTACATTATGCATGTATTACTATGCAAAAGTTACAAAAAGTGGCATGATAATCGGGGGTCCCATGACTACTAAACTAGGTTACAACCTGTATCTTAGTAGCCAGTGATTCCTCAACTAAGATTTAAATACAATGACTTGGTCCGATTGGTTAGTCTTTTAAAACAAATCCAAAACTTTTAAAACAAGAAAAAGGAGACTTAAATGTAGTTTCAAACAGTGTTACATAACAATTATTAGAGTACAAACGAATGAACACATATTGGTATACATTTACATGAAATTGAATTTAACTTGCATTGCCTCAAGTCTCAATCTCTCTAACCTATTTAACCCATAGGTGAGCTTCGAAAAATGCTCGTTCCGTCCGCGGTCCTCCCCAGAAAAGTCCCTACCGCCCAGCCCGCCGGAATCCAAAGTGTCGGCGGCGTCTCCCCGGCGCATCATCCGCGGGCGCGGCGCGGCGCTGGCGGAGCTGGAGCGCGGCCGCCGCCCGAGCCTCGACGCGCTGCTGCACGACACCGGCGAGAAGGTCAAGGATCTGTTCCAAGGTCAGCAGATCAATATCGTTCCTTTCTTTCCCACAGGTCCCAATGTAGCTTGTCAGAGGAAAGGTCAAAAAGATAAAGAGAGAGATCCTGATATAAAAAAGCACTTCAAGAACATTAGTAGACCGCTGCTGCATGACACTGGAGAGAAGGTTAAGAAGATCAGAAGCTGGTCTATATGATTCCTTTTTTACAGTGTATCTTCACCTTTAGGTGCTAGAATCGCATTCCTCTAAGACTTCAAGTACTTCAAAGCCTGAGGATACCTTTATTAAATCTTGATCAAGGTTTTTCAAGGTCAAAAGCTGATCAATACCGTTCGTATTTTGCAACAGGTCCCAGTGTAGCTTCTCTTGCGAAACGACTATGTTAAATCCTGATAAAAAGTAGGTTTCAAGAATATCATGTTTCTTATAGTGCAGCTCCATCTTTAAGAGCTGCAAGACTTCCTTGATTATGTTAAAAAATAAGACTTCAGAAAAGTTCTTCGAGGACAATTGCATTAGATCACAAATGAGCCTCTAGAAGTACTCGTTTTGCCCACGCTCCTCCCCGGAAAAGTCCTTACCGCCCAGCCCGCCGGAATCCAAAGTGTCGGCGGCGTCTCCCCGGCGCATCATCCGCGGGCGCGGCGCGGCGCTGGCGGAGCTGGAGCGCGGCCGCCGCCCGAGCCTCGACGCGCTGCTGCACGACACCGGCGAGAAGGTCAAGGATCTGTTCCAAGGTCAGGAGATAGTAGCCATCTTTTGTTTTTTTTCCACAGGTTTCAGTGTGCTATTCCTAGAGCAGAAGCTCAGAGAGATCCGGACTAGGTTACTGCTGCATGACACCAGGGAGAAAGTTAAGGAGATGTTCCAAGGTCAGGTGGTAGCTATCTTTAGTTTTTTTTCCACAGGTTTCAGTGTAGTGTTCTCATAGGAGAGATCAAAGAAAAAAAAGAGAGAGATCTTCATAGAAAAGACTTTAAGAACATCATTTTCAGAACTAGGTCACTCTGCTGCATGACACCAGGTAGAAAGTCAAGGAGATGTTCCAGGGTCAGGAAGTTTCTTAGTAGCTTCACCTTTCAGAGCTGTAGTTCAACTGCGTTGAGGACATCAAGAAGATAAGAGCCTGAATAAATGGTCAAAAAGAGGTTCTAAGCTGAACAATAGTTTTTACCACTCGCTCCAAGGTAGCGTTCTCAGAGAAGTTAGGAAGAGAGGTATTCTTCTAGCTAGAGTGGCACATGACATGCAGCGCAGTATTTTATAGAATATCGAAGGCGACAGCTGCTAGTTCATAGACTGACATGCCATTCATCAACTTACAACGTTGGAGTAAGCTGCGTTGCGTTGTGACATCAGACCGCTCATGTGACACTCAATGCTTTGAGATTATTACACTTCAACGACGCGGTGCTCCGTAAAGACCCCTGTGGCATCCCTGTAAGTTGTTCGTTCCTACCGCCCAGCCCGCCGGAGTCCAAAGTGTCGGCGGCGTCTCCCCGGCGCATCATCCGCGGGCGCGGCGCGGCGCTGGCGGAGCTGGAGCGCGGCCGCCGCCCGAGCCTCGACGCGCTGCTGCACGACACCGGCGAGAAGGTCAAGGATCTGTTCCAAGGTCAGCAGCTGGTAGCTGTCTTTTGTTTTTTTCCCACAGGTTTCAGTGTAGTGTTCTCAGAGCAAAAGCTCAGAGGAAAGATCGAAGACAGAGAGAGAGAGAGAGGGAGAGAGAGATCCTCATAGAAAAGACTTTAAGAACATCAATTTCAGGACTGCTGCATGACACCAGGGAGAAACTTAGGGGAGAAAGTCAAGGAGAGGTTCCAAAGCACGTCCAAAGTCAGAAGGTTTCTTAGTAGCTTCACCATTCAGAGCTGTAGATCATTGAGGACATCAAGAAGATTAGAGCCTGAATAAATGATACTGGGAAGGTCAAAAAAATGTTCCAAGGTCAGGAGCTGATCAATAAGATTCTTTATTACCACACGCCCCAGGGTAGCGATCTCAGAGAAGCTAGGAAGAGAGATCAAAGAGAGAAATCCTGATTTAAAAAGAAGACCTCAAGAACATCAGAGCTCATCATGTTCCTTTTAGTGACTTCTCTATCTCCATCTGACTGCGTTGATCCTGAAAAGACTGTAGGAAGGTTACAGCTCGAAGAAATTGCATTAGATCACAAATGAGGCTATAAGTGCTCATTCCGTCCGTACTCTTCACTGGGCAAGTCCCTACCGCCCAGCCCGCCGGAATCCAAAGTGTCGGCGGCGTCTCCCCGGCGCATCATCCGCGGGCGCGGCGCGGCGCTGGCGGAGCTGGAGCGCGGCCGCCGCCCGAGCCTCGACGCGCTGCTGCACGACACCGGCGAGAAGGTCAAGGATCTGTTCCAAGGTCAGCAGCTGGTTATCATGATTTGTGTCTTTACTACAGGTTCCCAGGGTATCTAGAAGAGAAGTTAAGAATCTCAGGGGAAAACACAGATGGAAACTTCTTTAGATCCTGATAAAAAGAGGACTTCAAGAACATAAGAGAAGGACAATTTCACTAGATCACACTATATGACACTGGGAAGAAGGTCAAGGAGATGTTCCAAGGTCAGGAGATGGTAGCTGTCTTTTGTTTTTTTCCCACAGGTTTCAGTGTACTATTCCTAGAGCAGAAGCTCAGAGAGAGAGATCAGGACTAGGTTACTGCTGCATGACACCAGGGAGAAAGTTAAGGAGATACTCCAAGATCAGGAGATGGTAGTTATATACCTTATGTCCCAGTGTAGATTCTCCGAGGCAAGATGAGGCCAGATCGACTTCGTTCCTGACAATAAAAAACCAAGAATCTCAGTTTCTAGGCTAGTTTGCTCTGCTGCACGACACTGGGGAGAAGGTCAAGGAGATGTTCCAAGGTCAGCAGATGCTCTTTTGTTTTTTCCCACAGGTTTCAGTGCACTATTCCTAGAGCAGAAGCTCAGAGAGAGAGATCAGAACTAGGTTACTGCTGCATGACACCAGGGAAAAAGTCAAGGAGATGTTCCAAAGTCAGAAGGTTTCTTAGTAGCTTCATCTTTCAGAGCTGTAGATCAACTGCGTTGAGGACATCAAGAAGATTAATAATAATAATAATAAATCATTTATTTGCCAGAATACGGTTACAAATGGTTATAAAAAGAGAAGTTTCCAACATATTCTATCGTACATACGATGTGCAAATATTACAAAAAATACGGTTATGTTTTTAATATTAAAAAGTAGTATCATTATTAATTGAATGTCATGCAAATGGCAGAAAATGATTATGAATTATTGAAATAGCACAAACATAATTATTATTACATTAGATTCATACAATGTCAATGATACACAATGTCATATTTTAAGAAATTTTTAGAGCCTGCATAAATGATACTGGGAAGCTCAAAAAGATGTTCCGAAGGCAGGAGCTGATCAATAAGATTCTTTTTTTACCACAATCCCCAAGATAGCGTTATCAGAGAAGCTTACAGGAGAGATCAAAGAAAGAAATCGACTTCAAGAATATTTGAAATTGAAGACAACTCACTAGATCTTTTGTCTTTATCTTGTGCTTCACTTTTAAAGAGAATCATCAAAAGAATCATCAGTCCGTCATTTTTGTTATTTGTGTATTTACATATTAGCATAAGAATATTATATCATTTTCTTCTGAGTAGGTACAAGAATAAAGTTATTTTTTAGTAAAAAGTTATTTAATTACAAATTGTACCTCTTTAACATAATAATTGGGGTCGTTCCGCAGGGCTGTCCCTATTCGGCGAGCGACGCGGCTCGGCGTCGGCTCCGCGCACGCCGCGGCGGGCGGCGTCCCCGCGCGCGCGTGCCAGCCCTGCGCCCGAATCCTCTGCGTCTGACGATCGGTATTCTGACACCGACAGCCTGGCCAGGTACGTGACTATTCCCATGTTCCACTGCTGCAACATCTGTGTAAAGCCTGGTCCGTGAGCACGTAGAATTTTGTCCAATGACCCCAAGCTACCCGTCCTTATCGCTCGCGCGTAATTATGTTGCTGTCGCGCTCGCACACTCACTGCGGGCGCGCGTCGCACAGTCGCGACAGCAATATAATTACACGCGAGCGATAAGGATGGGTAGCTTGGGGTCATTGGACAAAATTCTACGTGCTCACGGACCAGGCTTTAGCCAGGATCTACAGCTTGACCAATGATGAGAAGTCTGCTCCGAGACCGAATCCTCCGCCTCTGATGACAGATACTCCGACACCGACAGCCTGGCCAGGTACGTGGTCATCATCATCATCATCATTTCAGCCATAGGACGTCCACGTAGCCAGGATCTACAGCTTGACAAATGATGAGAAGTCTGCTCCGAGACCAAATCATCCGCATCTGACGACAGATACTCTGATACTGACAGCCTGGCCAGGTACGTGACTTTTCCTGCTGCTACTCCTGTGTAGCCAGGATGTACAGCTTGACCATATAGTAAGAAGTCTGCTCTGCGACCGAATTCTCCGCCTCTGACGACAGATACTCTGACACCGACAGCCTAGCCAGGTCAGTCTAATGATTAACCATAGGCATCAGATGACCATGCAGCAGCAGTCCTGTACTCCTGCGTACAGCAGAAGACAAAAGACAGGAGGCGTAATGACGCCTTCCTTGTTTGAAGCTCACTCTATGTCTACACTGAGCGAGCTAAGTGCCAAGGTGACAGATACTCCGACACTGACAGCCTGGCCAGGTACGTGACTATTCCCATGTTCCACTGCTGCAACATCTGTGTAGCCAGGATCTACAGCTTGACCAATGATGAGAAGTCTGCTCCGAGACCGAATCCTCCGCTTCTGATGACAGATACTCTGATACTGACAGCCTGGCCAGGTACGTGACTTTACCTGCTGCAACTCCTGTGTAGCCAGGATCTACAGCTTGACCATATAGTAAGAAGTCTGCTCTGCGACCGAATTCTCCGCTTCTGACGACAGATACTCCGACACCGACAGCCTAGCCAGGTCAGTCTAATGATTAACCATAGACATCAGATGACCATGCAGCAGCAGTCCTGTACTCCTGCGTACAGCAGAGGACAAAAGACAGGAGGCGTGATGACGCCTTCCTTGTTTGAAGCTCACTCTACGTCTACACTGAGCGAGCTAAGTGCCAAGGTGACAGATACTCCGACACTGACAGCCTGGCCAGTTACGTGACTATTCCCATGTTCCACTGCTGCAACCTCTGTGTAGCCAGGATCTACAGCTTGACCAATGATGAGAAGTCTGCTCCGAGACCAAATCCTCCGCTTCTGATGACAGATACTCTGATACTGACAGCCTGGCCAGGTACGTGACTTTACCTGCTGCAACTCCTGTGTAGCCAGGATCTACAGCTTGACCATATAGTAAGAAGTCTGCTCTGCGACCGAATTCTCCGCCTCTGACGACAGATACTCTGACACCGACAGCCTAGCCAGGTCAGTCTAATGATTAACCATAGACATCAGATGACCATGCAGCAGCAGTCCTGTAGGCCTAAGATGCGCGCCGCGATAAGCGGTTATCACGCCATTTTATCGATTTTGCCCATACATTTTGACGTCGATAAAAGTTATCACGGCGCGCATCTTAGGCCTACTGTACTCCTGCGTACAGCAGAAGACAAAAGACAGGAGGCGTAATGACACCTTCCTTGTTTAAAGCTCACTCTACGTCTACACTGAGCGAGCTAAGTGCCAAGGTGACAGATACTCCGGCACCGACAGCCTGGCCAGGTCAGTCTAATGAGCAACCATAGGCATCAGGTAGCGACTAAAGAGGCCGCGACCATAAAGCAGCAGTTCTGTACTCCTGCGTGCAGAAGAAGACAAAAATCAGAAGGCGTGATGACGCCTTCCTTGTTTGAAGCTCACTCTACATCTACACTGAGCGAGCTAAGTGCCAAGGTGACAGATACTCCGACACTGACAGCCTGGCCAGGTACGTGACTATTCCCATGTTCCACTGCTGCAACTCCTGTGTAGCCAGGATCTACAGCTTGGCCATATAAGAAGTCTGCTCTGCGACCGAACCCTCCGCGTTTGATGACAGATACTCTACTAGTGACTATTCCCACCGCTACAACTCCTGTGTAGCCAGAATCTACAGCTTGACCATATAAGAAGTCTGCTCTGCGAACAAAACCTTCTCAAATACTGTCAGTATTTGAGAAGGTTTTGTTAAGAGTAGCCTGGCGAGGTATATTAGCAGCAGGGTTACTAAGAAAATCGTTAGTTTTTCGACGAACGACAACGATAACGCGATTAGTGTATCATCTTCAAATCGGTAGCCCAACATCCTGATTCTACTGCAACAACAACTTTCCTACAGGAACAAACATCCAAATTCCTTAAAAAAATACATATTAATTAATTGGCTGATTGATTATTACTGATGACAAATTGTATCCTCAATGTTATAATTAATTTGTGTAGTAGTAATTATAGCCTGACCAGGAACATAAAAACCCTCGCCATGTTGCGGAAAACTAATGGTACTAATTTCTTTTAATGGCAACAGTAACTGAAAACTTCATTATAATGTCACCTTGCATGTCAGTTTATTGCTGTCATAGTGTAAACAAACTTCATTTTAAATGTGCGCAATTGATTTTGTGAATAAATTGCTAAAATCTTTTTATAGTCGTGAAAGAAAAGTGGTTCACAATGTGTTAAAGTATTTGTCGAAGAGAAATACTAAGGGTTCGGACAATATTTTCATTGAATAATGTTTCCGACAAAGGTTGTCAAATTGACTGACATGTTTATCGTATAGTACAGTCAACTATGAAAATTAGCTGTGGTTTGTTTCAACTACCTATTTTAAAGTTTTTTGTCACTTTTTAAGAGTTGAATTTTATGAAATTGGGAAAGAAGTACCGAGTTTGAAGCGTTNTCGATGGCTCCTACGTATACTGGCGTAAGTGAAAAAAGTAAATTTTACAGGAGAGCCATTTTAGTGGCCAGAACCATATTTTTGGGTCATATCTTCTGACCTACTAAAACGAATTTAATGAAATTTTACATTTAGCCTTAACATGTAATGCTTTTGGTACTGCTGTTATCAATTTTTATATTTTTCTTATATATTTTGAGATTTTACGCATTGCCCTTTTACGTCGGCATATTTCTATAATTTCATGTATACAGTGTGAGTCACGTTAAAGTGTACATATGAAAATAGATGAAACTAGACCTATTTTTATCGACAAAAAAGAGGTCAAAAATTTTTTGAGATTTTTTTTTTAATTTTTTATAGAAATTTTTTTCTTCCAATTACTTGTTGTAAAGAAAACGTAATAACTTTTAAACTAAGCGGTATATTTTGATAAAATAAAAACAGTAATAATGCAAAATAACAAGCGATACTAAAATAATACATAAAATACACAAAAAATGCCAACAAATAATAAAAAATGATACTTTTTGAAAAAAATCTGCTTAAAAATTCGTGTTTTTTTGGTTATTTGATAAATATCTCCAAAAAATGCCCCTATAACCGGTGGTTTTTATTACTTTCTATTATTCTCTATCGTATTATCTTTGTAAAACCAAAAATCGCATGTCTCTATCCCTATCACAACATTTGCTATGATCGTTTGAACAAAGGCCTGCCACAACATTATTTTCCGAAACAGGTAGAGACAATTTTAATTTTAACTAAAATGCTTATTTTACTTCGAAATCTTTTGTTTTTATTTGAAATCTAACTTGTCTTTATCAAAATTACAAATCTAGAGCCATTTTCAGTTTTGTTGTTAACGAAGCGTTGAATGGCGCGCCCGGAGAGGCTTAGTTCAAACGATAATTGCAAACGTTGTGATAGGGATAGAGACATGCAATTTTTCGTTTTACGAAGGTAATATGATAGAGAATAATACAAAGTAATAAAAACTACCTGTTATAGGGGCATTTTTTGGAGAAATTTATCAAATAACCAAAAAAATACGAATTTTTAAGCGGTTTTTTTTTCAAAAAGTATATTTTTTTATTATTTTTTGGCCTTTTTTGTGTATTTTATGTATTTATATGTATTGCCTGTTATTTAGCATTGTTACTGTTTTTATTGTATCAAGATATACCGCTTAGTTTAAAAGTTATTATGTTTTCTTTACAATAAGTAATTGAAAGAAAAAAAATTCTATAAAAAATTTAAAAAAATCTCAAAAATTTTTTGACCTCTTTTTTGTCGATAAAAATAGGTCTAGTTTCATCTATTTTGATATGTACACTTTAACGTGACTCACACTGTATAGCACTCAATACCACTTAACCTTCACTTTTTGTGTTTCGGTGGAATCCATAATGTAGATCCTGGCTATACAGGAGTTGCCGTGGTGGGAAAGAGATTTTGGACTACTCCCGTTAGCTAATCTATTGTTACCCTTAAAAAACTAGACGTTACGCGTTCGTAAACTGTCCCACTTGCAGTTAGTCCCATACTCAATTCGTCCCATTCGTCGTTATTCTCAAACCCTTCATCCGTTATTTTCTTAATCTAATCTTCCTTCCTTCCAGCGTGGAAATGCTCACAGACGACCAGATCGCTTCGCTTATGCTGGACGCCCAGCTCGAAGCCGTTTGCGAAAGGCTCGCCGGCGTGGCCGTGCGGCGCGAGTAACACTCGACCCAACGCCGTAAGACATAGAGCTCAAAATTAAATGTGGGAACATTCGTAACTCCAGCATGCATGGAGAAAGGAGGCCTGTATTCACCAAGGGATGTGAAGTTCATCCGTAAAGGTAATTAAAGTGTTTGAGCCTTAAGAAAAGGATATAAAGTTCAGAATAACGTGGAAACCAGTTAATAAAGAAAAGGGGGAGGGGCATACAATGTCGAGCCATAGCTTAATCAGTGCAACAATGGTACAACTGAAATATTGATATTTCCGCAATTTAGTACCTTCAAAATACATTCCAATTTATTTTGTTTCATATTTATAAATATTTACTAAATAAGCAGCTAATAAATAATATAAAAACAAACATACAAATACAAAACCTGATATAAAACGTGTCATATAAAAGTATATTTTTCCACAGTCGCAAATAATAATATTTTATCACAAGTACATGACAAGCGCTAGTCTTAATCTCTCTAAACTTAATGATATTAAATAATAATTATTAATAGTATAAATTAATCATAATATCGTGAGAATTGATACTCAATAGTGTAATAAAATGATCAGTAAGCCAAATATATAATTTTGGCATGAAACTAAATTATTGAAATATATCTTTCAAATGATTAATTTTGTTTGTTTAAAAAAAATAAGTAAAACAATAAGCAGCTTGCATTAAGAAGTGTATTTTTTTCTTTACGCAAGTTTTCAATAAAATTTAGGGTCATCTGATAGACATATCAAGATAGTTTGATAAAAATTGGCAAATGACAGCATTTATTGATATTTTTTCTTTATTACAACTCCATTTAGCCATGAAAAACTAATTGGCTTCATACCACAAAAAAGTGCGTTCAAAAAACGTATTTTGAAATGACATAGTAATACAACGCTGCTAGCCTGATTTTAAATTAAATTTACACTTATATCATGCCTTTATCATAGCCAATTAGGTGTTAGGTTAATAGGAAATAATAATACAATTTTAATGCAATAATTAAAGATAATAATAAATTGTCGATACAGCTCGAGTGATACGTAGGTAGTTATTAATACAGTGCTAATTTCGTCACGAATTCTCTTAGATTAATTTTAAAAATACTTTCGTGATAACATAAATGAATGATATTATTATAAACCGAGTATTAAAGAGATCTAGTATTTTTTTCTTTACGAGTTTTAGTAATCTTTTTAAAAAAAAATATTTATTGGCATTTGTACGAACAAATGTTGCAAAGTTTACCGCTAATTCGTCACGAAATTCGCACTTATTTTTGCCTATATTCTTGCCTAAATATATCAAATATACTTACAAATATGTTATGAGACGTCGGTGTGTTAATTGTAAAGTAATATAAAATAATATATTGGTTGAAATTAATAATAATAAGATTAAAATGTGAAGCTGATGTGATTTAAAAGCGCGATATTAAATGTATGAATATTTTAATTTTTCGTGCTATGAATGGAAAGCTTAAAGAAATGAAACAAACATGTTTTACTCATTATACTCAAAAACTCTTTTTATTGGGTTATACACTTATGTGACATTGTTGACCGAATGAAAATATTTTTACTTGTATTATTAACTCAGTATTATTGTTTAATTAGAATTATTTTAAGCTTTTAGTGTTTTTATATTTTACTAATCCCGCCAATTTGAATATAATTCCTTCGTGTCACAAATCATCTGTGATTTTAGTTTCAAATTGTCTACTCAGCTATATCAATAATGTTAAATCATTTATATTAATGTTTATTTATTACATTCATTCAGTCTTCCATAAAAAACAGTATAAATTACATTGTTGAAAAAAAAAAAAGATTATTGAAACTTTTTATTTATTTATTTGAACACCAACAAGCTTTTTTTTGGGATAGCTTGTTTGAATTTATGAGCTAAGGTCTTAATATATTTTTGTCTTGATCTCATTAGAAATCAGCTGTGGATCATTAATCAATTAAATAAATGCAATAGAAATACATACTACAACCCGGTCGAGTTAAATGCGCACCTGGCAGCTGTGACGTCACATCGACGCCTGATACAGACGGAACAAACGCGAAGTGTACGGGTGAGTGCGAGGCAGAGTTAGAGATGGGTTTCCACCCGGGTAAAAACCCACATGAGGGTAAAAACCCAATAAAAACCCGTTTCATTCCACCCGTGGGTGTTTACACCGGGTGAAAACAAATTTTATTGAATTTTTCTCATTTAAGTTTATTGATTAATAAGTAATAAGTCAAATTTAACACTAATATGCATTTATATCGTGGCCAAATCGTAAAATTCATCACGTTATGATGATGTGACCAATTATTTTATAAAATGGTGTTATTTCAAGAATCGTTGAACCGATTTAGAAGAAATTTAGTAGGAACACAATAATTTGTGATCATGGCAAGGACATGGAGGGGGGGGGATGCCAAACTCTCTCTTGATGACATTACGGTATAAAGTTACAAATAACAACACCAACTACAAAGTACTTCTGCTTATAAACTTGAAATCGAACCGCCCTTCTGCCACTGTAACGCATTGTAACGTTTTTCAAGACCTCCTCTCCCCCCAGATTGCATTACGTAACACTAGAACGCCCCCTTAGCAACAAATACCACTTCTCACTTTAAAAAAACGCTATTTTTGTTTTCACCCACCAGAATGGGTGATAATGGGTAAAAACCGGGTTTTTACCCACTACCCATCTCTAGGCAGAGTCGCATTCCAGCGAGGTGCGCAGTTAGCTCGATCGGATTGTATATGGAATTTATTTATTCACTAAAATATTGTCACAATAATATTAGTCGCCAAAATGTCGTGTGTAAAACAATTTTAGCGTTAATGCAAATAATAGCTTAGTATCACTAACGCACAAATTGTAGCAAGAGTGTATAAACACTGGTGTCTACTTATGACGTATTCGTATGTATTATTTATTTATTATTAAGATTAAAATAATAATCACCGAAGTGTACATAAAATATTTTCTTTCGTTGTAAAATACAATACGTCATGTGTAAACTTATCACCAAATATTGTCTAAGATGGTGAAATATCATTGCAATAATGAAAGCCATATCTTTGCAAGCAAAAGCACAATTTTTATTTCATTTCTTTATAAGTACAGCTCGGCTTAAATTCGTGAAAATGTTTGATGTTCGTAATTCTCTTATTTATGGAAAGAAGAAAATTCAGTGCCTGAGGTATGAAAGTGGCACGGGAGGGTGTCACCCGTGGCATAATATGACGTCACAGAGCATATTGAAGTTTCGCTGACAACCCTCCCGCTCTGATACCTCAGGCACTAAGAGGCGCAGACCACCGATTTTTAGTTGGCCGATAGTTGTGCCCGATTTTAATTAGTATGAAGAATCGGCCAAATCAAATCGGCGTAATGTGCGCACTCCCATACATGCCCATACTGATCAACTGCCCGACTAAACTATTGGCCGACGAAAAATTGATGGTCTGCGTCTAGGCTAAGTTAAGCGCTAGACTTTACGTCGTTGCATCCACGTGTTAAAATTTTCGCTTTATTATTTAAAAGTTACTGGTGTTTTAGCTGGAGATTGGCTGTTTGTGAAAATTAATGTTTAATGTGTAGCAAAATACGTCAAATTATTATCCTAATGAGGGTGTTGTGATTGTAAGCAATGTTATTGTACCGAGTGTTAGCCGGGTCTCTAGCGCGTTTTGCCCTACACAATCAACAAAATCATCTCAACATTTAACAACATTGTCTATAAAAATGTTGAATGTTGACATGTTTTTGTTGATTTGTAGCTCAAAACACGCGCTGGAGACCCGGCTTTACGTCGGCTGTTATGTTTGTACGCCTCGCTAGTGTTGTAGCATAATTTAGAATAACGTAAGTAGCCGAAATATTGCCCGATCAGTAAACTGTTAATTTGACAGCTGATCAGCGGTCAGCATTGATAAAACTGCTGACCAATTATAAAATAAATCAACTCATGTTTGTTTAACAAAATTGTTCAGTTGTATCCAAATGTGTTCCGAAAAATTCTGTTGTGTATTGAGAGAATAATTATTTTTTAAGAACAAATGCAGCTTACCTTGATACTCACAATAGAAAACAAAGTAATAATTGTCAAACTAATAATAAGATAGCAGCTAAAATACTTAATATTGGTCACATGTCTTAGTAATAATATTGAATCTCATTAAGCAATAATAATGTGTAATAATTCGATTCCATGACTACTTGTAACACAAAAATGTCTGTTCCACCATGTGAAATTGCCTTTTCTTTCATCCTTATAGTTTACGTACGCGATTAATATACCTATTCAAAAAGCAGCCATAATTTTTGATGAAATTAAATTTTGCTAAAATTTCACTTAGGCTTTTTGATAGTGTATGTAGGACTCGCTAATTTGTAGCTACTGAGCCACATAAATAGGCCAATAAGTCATTTTAGAAGTTTCAAATGCATTGCAAAGACAAGTCTACCTTTCTTACACTAGCTTTTAAAATAAAGTTAATTAAGGTGTGGTGGAACAGACTATAGCTCGTATAGCAGTGATAGTCCACGTGACAGCTTTAAGAGGATATTATTTTCGCTGTTGTGATATCTGTACAACGTTAGCCATACTTACGTAGGGTAAGAGTTGTGTACATATACGTACGTGTTATTGTAACTTGCCTTCAGATGAATAATAAATAATAATAAGTAGTTAAATGTGTTGCTTTTCTTTTAACTAGTCTACCTAAACCCATTCCCCGTTATTAATAAAAGTTATACCCTCTTGCTTAAATCGTCATTTAATATGGAAATGTCATTTTAATCAAAGGTTCATCCTAGGTGTAACTTTTTATTAACAAGGGGGATTAGCTATGTAAGGCTTTGAATACCCCTTGTATGTCTGACGTACTTCAATGAATTTCTAGATTTCCCTGGGATCATTGAAATAGAAAACCTTTATAAATTCGCATATTTTTATTACATATAGCACATGGTTACAACAACAGAATAAAAACTTACGAACTGGGACGGAAAACATTATTTAACAAAAAATATAAACGAATACAAACAACCGCCCGTGGCCCGCCGCGGTCGGTCAATGCTAGTCTACCGCGCAAAACGGTTTCAATACACAACGCTATCTCTCTCACTCGTTCATTGGGACATATCAGAATGAGTAAGAGAGACAGACAAATACGATTGATACACTGAAGCCGTTTTGCGAAATAGTTGATTTCTATACTAAATAAATCGACATTTATAGCTGTACAAAGTACAATAAGTCACGAGTAATTATGTAGGTCATGCAAACGCTGCAATATTTAATTTTATTAACTTGAAGCATTCGCCGATCAGTTCTACACAAGTTCTCAACCTATTAGTTAGTGTGCACACAATTGTCAAGATTTATATTGTAATTATCTTAAATAAATAATCAAGAGTTTCAAGAGTTTCCTTCTATCAAGACAACTACAACACATATCTTGTACCATCGCGTACATAGTGGTCGCAATATCGATTCATCTATTATAGAAACTGTAGCAAATATTCATTATTTATAGGCATAGCCAATGAGGTACACAAAATATAGAATTCACACATTGCATTTCAAGCTTTTTGCCGCAGAACATAAAGATCAAAATATAATATGCAAATTCAGCACTTAGCATACATGCAGAATATTTTTTTACATAAATAAGTAATTTATAAAAATACGTCTTTTTGGTTACAATTTGGCAAATTATATTTAGGTTTATTTTTTAAGAAATACCATTCAGCTTATGCACAATCGATTATGGGTACTAATAATAAATAACATATTACGAGCAAGAAATAAAGGTATTTCTTCCAAAAACAAACCAAAATTGGTGTCAAGGCATTTCGTCCACGCCACTAACTATAAAACTCCATACGAGGCGTGATGAAATCGTCTCCCTCCACCATTAATAATTAAGTTTTCTACATAGATAACGCAATACTGAACTCTATTCTAATGTCTACATTATACTGAATGATGCCACTTACTGATCAATGAACTGAAGGTCAGCAACCTTTGATCATGACTAAATATCGACCATTAAATTGCTGATCAATTTATCAGTTTGAGCAGCTCGTTAGAGCGAATTTATTTTCGTCCCAGAATTTAAAAATAACGTCAATATTTAAGAAAGAGTAATTTTCTAATATATCGCGATTTCATATCTTTTTAATTTCCTATATTTTTCAAAATAATATCTTTCAAGCCTAGCCTCATAATTTATTTAACTATAGCACTAACTTGAAAACAGTGTGATGTATATTTTTTCCCTTTATATAAAAATTGGAATGTATTGGAATCAAACCTACTAACTAATCGTCTATCACATTCATTTTAATACCTACTATTTGAGCGAGAAAATACATTTAAAGTTAAATTATGCAAGATTTACATATGGATAGGTACATGAGAGTTACAAAAATAAATTAAGTACAAAATTAGGGATATCTCCATTTCAGCCTACACCAGAATAACAACTATTTCAGGTTCCTTCTATTATGTTTGAAATGTATTCTAAAGGAAAAGTAAGTACATATTTCGACTATTTCAGAGAAAGTTTCATTTATTTTAATAGATATTTAAACACATGGAAATAAAATGTAACAACAATATAAAATATTACTCTTTTCGCGATAAATCAAAAAGTCAAAGCTAAATTGGCATAAGTTCAACTATTCAACTACAAAAATTACAAATGATTCAACGTCAAAAATAAAATTTAAATTGAATAAGTTTTATTTCATTAACATTAAAAAATCTAACTAAAATCTCGTCTGATTGAATAACAGTCAAATAATACTTAAAAAAGCTATGGTTCTATAATCTTTGAATACTGTAAATCTTTGGGTACCCAACGCCACCCAAAGAGCACGCATTATAAATTTATAGATCTAACACTAACTTTGTCAGTGCCTGAAGTATAAGAGCGGGACGGGAGGGTTTTTTTATAGTCTGGTCCGTGAGCACGTAGAATTTTGTCCAATGACCCCTAGCTACCCATCCTTATCGCTCGCGCGTAATTATGTTGCTATTGCGCTCGCACACTCACTGCGGGTGCCAGTCGCACAGTCGCGACAGCAATATAATCACGCGCGAGCGATAAGGATGGGTAGCTAGGGGTCATTGGACAAAATTCTACGTGCTCACGGACCGGGGTTTAGACGTCAAACGTTAGCGAGGTTAGGTCATATGCTTCAGATTTGTATGCTCTGTCACGTCATATGTCAATGTCACCGCTCCCATGCCTCAGGCAAGACTGAGTTGAGCTAGCGCTCTATAACCTATAAGACCCATATTATGAAATGACAAATGAATTTACTGTCGACAGAACAACAAGCGGTACATTTCTGTTGCAAAATGACACAGTCTTAAACTTGATGTGCTAGTTTAATTTGGTTCAAATATTAAATTCAAGCAATCAAAAACCTGAACATATATCCTTTTGAGAATACAATTTCATAATACAAGCTTTATTATTATATCCTTAAACTACCTACACTACAACAATATTATAACAAATTATATGATGTTTATTTACATGGGACAACAACGGGGTCTAACTATGTATTTTGGACTATCTAATAAAGTATAATATCACCGTATTCGTGTTATTATGCGGTCAATGCATTCTCTCATTAGTGTATATCAAATTGTGGAATAAAAATTATTGAAGTTCGATAAGAAAAAAAGATTCTAATTTGATATAAGTACAGAACCATTGAAGGAATTAGTTTTGAAAACAATAGAGCATTTATCATTACTGCATCCATATTAAATACAACTATAGTGGTAAAATTGATCGTTTAATATAAAGTAATAAAATTATCTTTGTTTCATCATCATCATCATCATTTCAGCCACAGGACGTCCACTGCTGAACATAGGCCTCCCCCAATGACTTCCACATCGCACGGTTGGTAGTGGCCTGCATCCAGCATCGTTGTTTAGCTTCATATTATTATTTATAGATTTTTTTCATCAAAAGTACAAAGTTACTCACCACCCAGTAATATCCAACCTAGTGCATGCAGGTAATTTTTATCCAAATATGTAATTTCAGACCTGCACCTAATACAGCTGCAGTAATGTGAATTGTAAAATAGAAATACAGTGTGAGTCACGTTAAAGTGTACATATGAAAATAGATGAAACTAGACCTATTTTTATCGACAAAAAAGAGGTCAAAAAATTTTTGAGATTTTTTTTTAATTTTTTATAGAATTTTTTTTCTTCCAATTACTTATTGTAAAGAAAACGTAATAACTTTTAAACTAAGCGGTATATCCTGATAAAATAAAAACAGTAATAATGCTAAATAACAGGCGATACTAAAAAAATACATAAAATACACAAAAAAGGCCAACAAATAATAAAAAATGATACTTTTTGAAAAAAATCTGCTTAAAAATTCGTGTTTTTTTGGTTATTTGATAAATTTCTCCAAAAAATGCCCCTATAACCGGTGGTTTTTATTACTTTGTATTATTCTCTATCGTATTATCTTTGTAAAACCAAAAATCGCATGTCTCTATCCCTATCACAACATTTGCTATGATCGTTTGAACAAAGGCCTGCCACAACATTATTCTCCGCTACAGGTAGAGACAATTTTAATTTTAACTAAAATGCTTATTTTACTTCGAAATCTTTTGTTTTTATTTGAAATCTAACTTGTTTTTATCAAAATTACAAATCTAGAGCCATTTTCAGTTTTGTTGTTAACGAAGCGTTGAATGGCGCGCCCGGAGAGGCTTAGTTCAAACGATCATTGCAAATGTTGTGATAGGGATAGAGACATGCGATTTTTGGTTTTACAAAGATAATACGATAGAAAATAATACAAAGTAATAAAAATCACCGGTTATAGGGGCATTTTTTGGAGAAATTTATAAAATAACCAAAAAAACACGAATTTTTAAGCAGATTTTTTTCAAAAAGTATCATTTTTTATTATTTGTTGGCATTTTTTGTGTATTTTATGTATTTTTTTAGTATCGCCTGTTATTTAGCATTATTACTGTTTTTATTTTATCAGGATATACCGCTTAGTTTAAAAGTTATTACGTTTTCTTTACGATAAGTAATTTGAAGAAAAAAAAATATATAAAAAAATTTAAAGAAATCTCAAAAAATTTTTGACCTCTTTTTTGTCGATAAAAATAGGTCTAGTTTCATCTATTTTCATATGTACACTTTAACGTGACTCACACTGTATGTATTAGCTTCTTGTTTATAAAAACATGAATATAATAAATAAATAGACTCCTTCAAGAACTAATCACCTAGCCTCAAAATAAGCAGTTAGGTTCCCCGATCGAGTTAACTGCGCACCAGGCAGCCGTGACGTCACATCGACGCTTTCGTACGCACGGAGCGAACGCGGGGAGGTGTGCGGGTGAGTGCGAGGGAGAGTCGCATTCCAACGAGATGCGCAGTTAGCTCGATCGGGTTGTATTCATACTTATTCATGACTCTGGTACAAATGTTCGTGCTATTATAAACATTTGTCCTTCGCAGGATTCGAACCTCCTACCGCTGTTCTGAGGTCAGAGAACTAATCGTTCTGCCAGACGGATATTTTAAGTAAACTATTTTTATTTAACGTACAAAATGACTTAATCTACAATTTTAAGCACTACTTGTGTCGTGATAACATCGTGTGGTCATACATACGTCATACAAATTGTCAAATTGACTCGAACAACGGCAAAAACCCTGTCTCAAATAAATAACATCATTTTATAATATTATTTTCAACTTTGAATCTAATTATAAAAGTTCTTTTTTGTTTATTTTTTTATACACGAATACATAGTTTTCTTTGTAATGTATTATTATAATTATTTTGAGTAAATGCATTTTATAGTATAATAACGTTTACCTAATTATTTAGCTTACGTCTAAATCGAAACATTTTATTTGTCCAATACATTTTTTTATTTAATAAGTTAATACATATTTATTTTTACACAAACCTACTTGGCACTATCACAATACTTTATTTCATTAAATTTTATCGTGAAGAAAATTCAGATATTTATTTTCTTGTTTTGCTTGTGACTTGCGGTATTAAATTATTTATTCCATATTACATGCTAGCAAATTAAATAAATATCTTACTTCTTTAATTACGAAAAGCTATTACTTTTTTTTAATAACTCATCAGATATTTTGTGTAATTACAATAAATTATTTTCATTAGCCATCCGTCGTAATTCTTTGGTATTTTAATTATTTTTCAAATATCAACATTGTAACTCATCTTTTTTTGTGATACCTACGACACTTTCTTCTTTTAACCAAACAAGCCCGGTGGGTCAAAGCACGATGTCACAATTAGAATAAAATATAAAAAAAACAACAATAACTTACTCTACGTTTTGGTTGGATACTTAAAGAACATAACAAAAACACTTATATCTTATTGTGACTCAAAATCTGTCCTGCTCACTCTGCACTTCACAAAATAGTCAACACTGAAACCACTGATCTTGTTCGCGACGCCCTTTAGATTCCAGGTGAGTTTACATCGGTGGCCTGTGAACGAAAATAGAAAAAGTTACATTTAGAATGCTAAGAGTGCAGTCTTTCGCGTTTAGAGTAGGCGCACACCGCACAGCGTTGATTTTTAGTTGGCTGATAGTTGTGTCCGATTTTAAATTGTATGAAGAATCGGCCAAATCGAATCGGCGTAGTGTGCGCACTCCCATACATGCCCATACTGATCAACTGCCCGACTAAACTATCGGCCGACGAAAAATCAACGGTGTGCGCCTACTCTTATAATAGAGTTTAAATGTGTTATGTAACTATCACTCCATTCATGAGTGAGTGAAGCACATTTAATGAGGAAAAATCAATCAGTGCGATAGTGGAAGTATCAATTAATGTAAGGGACATTTTGGCCAAAATGAGTTATATATACCAACGCATTCAGAATTTTCGGCTCTATCGATTGGTATACTTGAAATGTTGATATCTTTAAAAAAATGTCCCTTACCTTAAACATTTTTAGTCGTCTGAATACGACTTTTGGGGAAACAAATGATTTAAAGGACGTAAATTCCTTTTAATAATACAATTCAGCCCTTACCCTAAACTGTTGGTTTTAACTTTTGAACTCATTGAACCTTACTTCATTTAAAACTTTTTGATTTATTATAATTAGGCCCTTACGTTAATATGCATATAGGATATCAATTACTTTTTTTGGTGGTGATATGCATTTAATGCCTCCCACTCCTACTACACTTATGAACACTAAGTTGTCTTGTTTCTATCTTTTTTCTGTTCATTTTTACGCAGTTGGGTTTTTGACCGAGGGGCTGAAGGCTCTTCAGAAGCTGTTCAATTCCGTCATCCTCGAAGGAAAAACGCCTACGGTATGGCACAGAAGTGTGGTGACACTCTTCTTCAAAAAAGGCGACAAAACCTTGTTGAAGAATTATAGACCCATCTCACTTCCGAGCCATGTCTACAAGCTGTTTTCGAGAGTCATTACGAATCGTCTCGCTCGTAAGCTCGATGACTTCCAGCCTCTCAATCTCTCAATCGCTTTAGTACACCACATACATACGCCACGGCAGATTATACAGAAGACCGAGGAGTATAGTCAGTCACTTTGCCTGGCGTTTGTGGACTATGAGAAAGCTTCGATCGAGACCTGGGCAGTACCTACTACAGTTTCTCCAACGGTGTCAAATTGACTACCTATATCGATACATCGAAATGTTGAAAGGCTTGTACGAAAACGCCACAATGTCGTTCCGTCTCCAGGATCAAGACTCGAAACCAGTTGCAGCAGCAGACAGGGGGAACTGAAAACTCCGAAACTGTTTCTGGACTGGAACGGATTCGGCATAAATATCAACGGTGAGTAAATAACCCACCTTCGATTCGCAAACGATATCATAGCCATGGCTGAGACCGTGGAAGATCTAGGCACAATGCACAATGGCCTGAGTCGAGCCTCTCAACAAGGGGGTCTTAAAATGAAACATGGACAAGACAAAATCATGTCAAATGTCCGTGTTGCACCCACTCCTCTAAAGGTTGGATACTCTACACTCGGCAGTTGTTGACACTTATATGTACCTAGTACAAACAGTCCAGTTAGGCTGGTTATAGTGTCACGCGGACCGTCCAGTGCGGATCCGCTTCACACAGCCGATCTGTAAACTTCGAGGAAGCGTTTTAGAGTAATGCGGTCCGCAGGAATCGCTCGCTCCCTATCAGTTCATACAGATTGGCTGTGCGGAGCGATCCGCACTGACGGTCTGCGTGACACTAAAACCAGCCTTAGGTAGGTCTAACTTCGAGGAAGAGGTCAATCGTCGAATCCAACTCGGCTGGCAACGTTCAGGAAGCTTCGTGATATTCTCACGTCTGAAATATCGCACTGTCTCAAGACAAAAGTCTTTGATAACTTATGGATCTGAGACGTGGTCGCTTACTGTGGGCCTCATAAGAAGACTCAAGGTCAAAGGCGATGGAGCGTGCTATGCTCGTAGTGATTGAACCAGAAATGACGTGATCCGCAGGAGAACCAAAGTGACTGACATAGTCCGCAGAATCGCTAAAATCAAGTGGCAGTGGATGGAGCTCGTAGCTTGCAAAGCTGATGGCCGCTGGGGCAGAAAAATTCTTGAGTGGCGACCACGAGCTGGAAGACGTAATGTGCTGCAGACCCCCACTAGGTCGACCGACGATCTGGTGAAGGTTGTAGGAGGTGCCTGGATGCGGGCGGCGCAGGACCGGTTGTTGTGGAAATCCTTGGGGGAAGACCTTTGTCCAGCAGTGGACGTCATTCGGCTAAAACGAACGAACGATGATTGAAAAAAAAACCTATCTGCGTAAAAATGAACAGAAAAAGATAGAAACAAGACAACTTGTTCACAAATGCAGATGTAGGCATCATCAGTGACTAAATGTTTTGTTGGTGATGTGTATTTGATGCCTCCAACTGCATTTGTGAACACTAAGTTGTCTTGTTTCTATCTCTTCTCTTCGTTTTGTTAATGAATACTCGAATGCAACCTCTACTTACATCAGGTTTCAATGTTAAAATTGTCAAGTTACAATAATATTACTGTCGTGTTTATTCTTAAATGTACCTTACAACATACATGACATTCCATACTGTGAAATTTCAACATTGTAAGGTACAGTCAAGCTCGTTTTTTTAATGTAAGGGACATGCTATCTTTTAAACTACCCATTTTTCGAAAATTTGGCGTTTATATTATGAAAGAACAGAAAATTCTAAGAAACTTTGCCATAGAAACTATTTAAATCGTAACATCACATAAAAAGATATTGAGGTATAAAGAAAAAAAAAATCGTTTTTTGGCTCTCCTGAAAAGTCGTGTTTTGTCCCTTACAGTAATTGATATTTCCACTATCGAGTGAGTGAATGATTTTAATCAATCATACTTCAAGAGTGCACGATGTACTTTTCTTTGTACGTGTGAGTGATACTCTATGATTGAGTGACACTCGATGTGTGAGCTCGCTCGTGAGTAGCTCGCTCAAGAAGGCCTAGCTCATCAGTGAGTGAGCGAGTAAGTCAGTAGCTCGCTCATGAAGGACTAGCTCACTAGTAAGCTCGTGGCTCGCTCATGAAGGCCTAGCTCACCAATGAGTGAGCTCGCTCGTGAGTGATTGATGGCGCTCATGAAGGACTAGTTCACCAGTGAGTGAGCTCGCACGTGAGTGGCTCGCTCGTGCCTGGCTCACCAGTCGGCGTGCAGGAGCGCCAGGTGTCAGGCGGGCGCGTGGCGGCAGGCGGCGCAGGCTCGCGTGTACCGCTCCACCTGAGTGGCTCGCTCATGATGGACTGGCTCGCTCGTGCTGGCTCACCAGTCGGCGTGCAGGAGCGCCAGGTGTCAGGCGGGCGCGTGGCGGCAGGCGGGACAGGCTCGCATGGCTGGTGTGTATCGCTCGACTTGGAAGGTGGCGGCGCGCGCGCCGAATTCGTTCTTGGCGAGGTTCTGGCACGCTTGCAGGACTTGTTCTGGGTCTGTTAACTCGTCTGCGGGTGATAGAAATGGATTATTTATTTATTTTATTTATTTATTTTATGGAAAACAAACAGCATAATATGTATTACTAGCTGTGCCCGCGACTTCGTCCGCGTGGAATAATGACTTTGGGTAGGCACTTTTAATAATTTAGTCTAATTATTTTACAAAGGCCTATGTTCAGCAGTGGACGTCCTATGGATGAAATGATGATGATGATGATGATGATTTTACAAATAGCTTTTGCCCGCGACTTCGTCCGTGTAGAAGTCGAAAAAGTTCTCATAGGATTTTTAAATGTTTTTTTTAACGTTATTATCTAAATATTTGAATACTATTTGATCGTTTAAACACAGTGAATGATTCAATTACATATTTTTTTAATATTTTAAACAGTTCTGTAAATGTAATTAAATATTACTAAATTATGACTAATGAAACGTTTCACGGCTTCGCTCTCATGAATGTTAACGACCGTCAAAAGCACGTCGATAGATGGCGTTTTTAAGGATATTTCTCACCTCTTAACTATTTATTGAAATTTAGTTTGTCACATATCGTCATAAATTGTAGCCTATATGTTAGCCTGGGTTATAAATAATAATACTGTAAAGTTTCAACAAAATCCGTTTATTAGTTTTTGCGTGAAAGAGGAACAAACATCCAGACATCCAGACAAAAAGGTCACAGTGAGCCAACCATAAAATATAGACATATGCTGTTGCGGACTTTTTTGTAGAACTTTTAAAGGGGAAAATCCTATCATACATAATTTATGCGAAACTTTAACCGTTTACGCAGCGTCAGCTCTCAAAAGGAAAAAAAACACTGATTTGAAACATTCTTCATTGGTGCTCCGCTCCTAGTTGGTCTTAGCGTGATGATATATAGCCTAAAGCTTTCAGGGATTAACGGACTATCCAACACAAAAAGAATTTTTCAAATTGGTCCAGTAGTTCCTGAGATTAGCGCGTTCAACCAAATAAACAAACTGTGATTAATAAATTGCGCCACTACAAACCGTACCAACAGATGGCGCTGTTACGATCTTACTATGGCAAACTCCATCGCGCATACAATCCTGCTCGCGGTGACGAAGTTTTTTACCCTGCCCAGTATATATAGACAAACCAAGACTGGCAAATTAGATGCACCATAGCTCCTTATGGTGGTTGAGCGTCATATTCCATAACTTCAGCTTTATAATATTAGTATAGATTAATAGATGAGGCGGTTAAGATCAAAAATGCCTTACATAGTTTTCACAAATAGCATATCAAGATACAAATACAATCCAAAACAAACAATTTAGCATGCAGTATAACTACAATATATGAAAAAAGTTAAAACAATACAGAAAATACCTACTAAAGCCATACCAAAATAGCAGAATATTAAGCAATAAACAGATACTTCAACTTTTAGGAAAATCGTCTGTGAACAACAGACAAACGCCCAGGAGGCTTTTAGGTCGCGCAATACAAGTTTAGGCGAATACGCACTCACACCGGTGTAATATTTAAATACACAAGAACACAAACTATCTCGATCTTGCTAAATGTGTGTACGCAAACGCACTTGTCAGTCTGACAACGTGGCGAGCGTATACAGATACAAATCTTAGCATGTGTTGATCGTTTCAACTCTGCGTGATCTAAGGTCTGGTCTTCACCAAGGGGAAGCGGAGCGGAGAAGAAAGATGTATCGGGGGGCTCATTTTTTTTAGCATTAGACAGCGGCTGCGGCGCGGTGCGGAGCGGAGAGGTATGGAAATAATGAAATCTGTTGGTTGCAATTTCTTACAAAACTTGCGCGCAAAAAGCAAATCTAGTATGTAAATCATCAAACTTCTAACGCTCGTAACTCAGTTCAGACTGAGTTTAGAGGTATACATGTTATAGTAAGTTTGGTTTATTACACTATTTTGTAATCAAAAATCAAAGTTTGGTCGATGGCCGCGCGAAAAAAAAAGACGCCACCTTCCATACAAAATCTGGCATTGCCATTTGATATAGTTACCAATAGCGACGTGCGCGGAGAGCACGACGTAGTTTGTGGACAGCGCCCACGCGTGCAGAGAGTGCACCTGCCTCACGCCTGGTAAGGCCGATAGGGCCGCGCCGCACTCGCGGTAGCTGCAACACACAAGTAACAAAATCATAATCAAAATTTTCTTTATTTGTTTAGACTAATTAAATTAGTGCTTGCAAATCGTCAAATGCTCTTAAGGAGCCTATACATGTCTCATTCTTTTTTTGCCCTACCAGTGCTTCGAGACAAACATTTGGCAAGTGCTGAGAAGAAGCGCCGCAACAAACTCAGTCACCACTGTCTGCCGGTTTAAAAATATAAAAAAGTAGGAAGTTACAATACATTCAGAAGCAAGTTACTTACCACCCGCTCCCGTTGATAGAAGGTGGCCTTTAAGACGCCCATCTAGCACGAGACCGCGTGGCAGTTTTGAATATATTTCTTTAGTGCCGTGCTAATTTCTAGGTTAATAATAACGAAATAAATACTAGTATCATGGCGCAAGTAGGTATACTGCGGAAAATTTACCGAGACGAAGCGCGAGCCCGTAAACCGAAGTATGGGCTGATGTGGTAGGAGGAGAAAGTAATTTAAAGATTACCATAACGCATTAAAAAAAACAATACGCTTTCGTGCGATGTTACTTGCAGTCGCAGAAGCGTCATGATGTAACTTGTCGAGAACTCCCGAAACCTTGATCGGCTTGGCCGACTAGTTGACCTTTTTACATCCGATAATCGACTAAAGCCTGGTCCGTGAGCAAGTAGAATTGTGTTGTATGTTGCTGTCGCGCTCGCACACTCACTGCGGGCGCCCGTCGCACAGTCGCGACAGCAATATAATTACTCGCGAGCGATAAGGATGGGTAGCTAGGGGTCATTGGACAAAATTCTACGTGCTCACGGACCGGGCTTTAGAAGTCGTATCTCACCGGAAGTCCCTGGGCACGGCCTGCATGAGCATGGCGAGCGCGTCGCGGACCACTCTCGCTGACGTCAGTAATACCAGGATGCTGAACAGGAACGTGCAGATCGGGTCCACGATCTTGGCTGACGGCTGTGGAGAGAACAGACGAGGATTTTAACTGCACTTAACTCTTTCTATACTTTATGAAGATGATTAAAGTAGTCTAGCGCTGAGGCATGGGATCATCTCGGGGATGTTTTTAGAGTCAAACGTCAGCGAGTCTTCAAATCTCCTTCAGATTTATATGCTTTGCCATGTTATAATATTTTGTCAATGTCACCCCTCCCGTGCCGCTCCCATAGCTCAGGCACAGACTGAGTTAAGCGCTAGACATATAGTATTCTAAATTTTACTCTTATTGTTTTTAGAATTTCTTCATCATCATCATAAGGTAGGTCGTTAGACCTCGAATCGACTCTCTCCAATTTGCTAAAGGCAAGTGAAAATTTCACCCCTAGTTAACGACATCTGTATTACATGCATTTTTACACCCGGTATAAAAAACGCTGAAGTTTGATATGATGGGTATTTGATCCCTCAAATTGTTTATAAAGTTAGACCTTTTTCAGGGCACCTATACACAAATTACTCTTAAAATGTTAAAGCATATTTATCAGAATATTTCATAAAATGTACTTACATAAAACTTAATGAGGACTGAAGCCAGCAGCACTCCGCAACTCTGGATGAGGTCCCCGATCACGTGGATGAGCGCTGCTCGGAGGTTGATGTTCCTGAACATGATTTGTCAATTTTTTCGTCTTTTAAGCAGTCAATGGTAATATTATAGTGACCACAGTACTTTGATTGAACATTAAAACGATAAAAAAATAACTTTCTTATCCGAATGGGGCTGAATATCTCATGATCATCATTTCAGTCAGTGGCAGTCCACTGCTAAATGTAAGCCTCTCACAAGGAACGCTACAAAACGTGATCTTCGGGGATAAAGATACTTGATTTTTAAAAACTTGAAGTCATGCCTCATGTGGAAATACTCGTAAAAACCTCGACCTTTCGCTTGGCAGGGCAACTGCTCTGATCTTTGAGCTATTAAGAACTCTCAAACATTCGTGGGATCAAATCCACGCAAAGCAATAGATTTTCTCAATTTTAAAAGTTTTATTAGAGCTAATAATAATAATAATACTCTTTATTGCACACCAAAAAACAGAACAGAAAGAAAAAGAAAGAGATGCAACTCTTAAACGCTAAAAATATTATACTACGAGTATTACTATAAAGCTACATTTGATATTGTATCACTTTAATTAAAAGATATGAAAGTAATTAAAGTCCACACAGAAAAACAATTACCTCGTATGCTGACCAACAACATTGGCTTCAGCACTAGACAGGTCCTTCATAGTGTAGTCCCCATTCACCAATGTTCCGTTCGCTTGCTTCTGTTCCCGGGAACGGCGGAACAAACGGAACAGCGGCCGGGGCTCTGACGAAGCGTGGGCATGAGCGTGGGCGTGGGAACACGCTGCCCCGCCGTGGGTGTGGTGGTGGGCTGTGGAGGAACAAGAGTTTGTAAAAGTGGGGATATATGAAAGACAATACACGATCTTTTACTTCTATAGCGGATTGTTAGTGCTTGTGTCTAACTTGCATTGAACTCAGTCATCAGCAAGACTTGAATCCGGCCGTCAGCAGACGGTGTGTGGGCAGAGACCACCCACATTCACGAATCTGGTCGTCAGCATGTTAGTTCAGCTGGAGCGGGCTAAGGGTCTATATGGAGGGTCCTGAGGGTAGTAGTGTAGTAACCAGAGCGTCCTTTTACAAGAAGCCAGCCGTCAGAAGACGCTGTAGCAGTCAGCAAACGCCGTCAGCAGGCGCTGTAACCGTCAGCTGACGCTAGAATGTGCCTAGACTCTAGAGAGTGAGACAGAGTATTTCTTGCAGCTGTCAGGAGCAGGCCTACAGTCTAGAGAGTGAGACAGAGAGTCCTCAGCTGTCTCACTCACCGATATCCGAAGCGCAGCCGTGCAGCACGAGCGCCAGCACCACGTTGAAGGCGACGCCGCAGCCCGACACCAGCAGCATCACGTCGGGCTCGATGCGGTACTCCCCGGCGACTAATACGAGCCGGCAGCAGACAGTATACAGGGCAAGGAGTGCTCATGCTAGAAGATGGCCGGCAGCAGACGCTGTAGCCATTAGCAGATGCTGGAGTTAGCTTAGAGTCATAGAGAATCCTAAGGGTAGTAGTGTAGTGACCTGAGCATCCAAGAAGCCGGCCATCAGCAGACGCTGTAGCGGCCTTAGAGTCCTCATAGCTCATCCTCAGCTGGTTCACTCACCGATATCCGAGGCGCAGCCGTGCAGCACGAGCGCCAGCACCACGTTGAAGGCGACGCCGCAGCCCGACACCAGCAGCATCACGTCGGGCTCGATGTGGTACTCGCCCGAGCAGGCTATACAGCTATAGAGGGCAGAGAGTGCTCATACTAGAAGACACCCGTCAGGAGACGCTGGAACGAGCTTACAGTTTACATAGATAGTCCTGAGGTTAGTAGTGCAGTGACCAGAGCGTCTTTAGCAGACGCTGTAGCCATTATCAGATGCTGGAGCTGGCTTGGAGTCTACACAGAGAGTCGTAAGGGTAGAAGTGTAGTGACCAGTGTCCTTTTACAAGAAGCCGGCCGTCAGCAAACACTGCAGTAACAGCCAGCAGTAGACGCTGGAGCAGGCTTAGAATCTACATGGAGGGTCCTGAGGGTAATAGTGCAGTGACCAGAGCGTCCTTTTACAAGAAGCCAGCCGTCAGCAGGCGCTGTAATCATCAGCAGATGCTGGAGCGGAACCATAGTCTACATAGAGTCCTGAGGTTAGTAGTGTAGTGGGTCACTCTTTTCTCGCCACAGCGTCCTTTTACAAGAAGCTAGGCGTCAGCAGACGCTGGAGCCGTCAGCAAACGCCGTCAACAGGCGCTGTAGCTGTCAGTAGACGCTGAAACGTGCCTAGAGCCTAGAGAGCAGGGTTCGAGGATATATATCAAGGGATATATATCAAGATATATATCGGATATATATCCGATATATATCAAGCCGGTTTTTATGATATATATCAACTTTTAAAATTTGTTACTCTATTTGTACTTTTTGACATAAGATTTTTATTTTTTTAGGTGATTTGGCCGTATTTCAAAGATATTTTATGATTTTGCTTTATTTGTCTGATTTAAAGTTTTAAAAACATTAAAAACATGTTTATGTAACACATATGCAATAGTATTCATGAATAATGCAATAAAATAATACTATGGCTTTCATACAAAATTGATATATATCAAAGTTGATATATATCGGATATATATCATAAATATCCGATATTTTGATATTTATAATAAATATCGGATATTTTCGAACCCTGCTAGAGAGTGAGTCAGAGAGTCCTCAGCTTGCTCACCAATATCCGAGGCGCAGCCGTGCAGCACGAGCGCCAGCACCACGTTGAAGGCGACGCCGCAGCCCGACACCAGCAGCATCACGTCGGGCTCGATGTGGTACTCGCCCGAGCAGGCTATACAGCTAGAGAGGGCAGAGAGTGCTCATACTGGGAGACGGCCGTTAGCAGACGCTAGAGCGAGCTTACAGTCTACATAGATAGTCCTGAGGTTAGTAGTGTAGTGACCAGAGCCTTCTCGTACTAGAAGACGGTCGTCAGCAGGCGCTGTAGTCGTCATTAGACGCTGGAGCAGGCTTAGAATCTACATGGAGGGTCCCAAGGGTAGTAGTTTAGTGACCAGAGCGTCCTTTTACAAGAAGCCAGCCGTCAGCAGGCGCTGTAGCAGTCAGCAAACGCCGTCGCCGTCAGCAGACGCTTTAGCTGTGACCAGACGCTGTCCGCAGATGCTGTAGCCTTCAGCTGATGTTGTAGCCTTCAGCTGATACTGTAGCCATCAGCAGATGCTGTAGCCATCAGCAGATGCCGTCAGCAGGCGCTGTAGCAGTCAGCAGACGCTGGAGCGGACCTAGAATCTACAAAATGAGACAGAGAGTCCTCCGCTTGCTCGCTCACCGATATCTGAGGCGCAACCGTGCAGCACGAGCGCCAGCACCACGTTGAAGGCGACGCCGCAGCCCGACACCAGCAGCATGACGTCGGGCTCGATGTGGTACTCGCCCGAGCGCAGGCGGATGCACGCCACGTACACGAATACGCCAGTCAGCAGCCAGATTAGTAGGACGGAGACCATTGCGCCCAGCACCTCTGAGGACAAATTTGATTATTATTCGTCAGCGTCAGCAAACACTTCCGTGGTTAGATAACTATGTTATTCGTCAACAGACTTCTAGAATGTGGCACAAAGCAATATTTTCGTCAGCAGACTTTCAAGTTACACTGTGGTTACACTAGACAAAAAGTTTTGCATAATGGTGCGTCCAGCAGACTGCGCCTGGGCTCGCGCGGCACGCTGGTCATCCTGCTCTCCCTGCTCTTGAGTGAGCAGGATGTTGAGTTAGACGCGCGAGCCCGTGCGCCCAGTCTGGACGCACCATAAAGAAGAATGGGTCACAGCGCGTAAGCGCGTTGGAAATAAAAATACCCCTGGATATAAGTCAATATTGTACGAAGCCGCCTGCCATCAATTGACACGTCTTCGGATGTCCCAGAAGCCTTACACCCTGCTGAGGGGTGAGGGTTACCTGTCCGCTGGTAGCCGTAAGACATGCTTGAGTCCGGCGGCCGCTTGGCGCAGTAAAAGGCCAGCGGAGCCAACGCGAAGCCGCCTGCCCGACACCTCCTAGAATGTTCTAATAGCCTGTCCCTGCTGTATATGACATGCGCGAGTTATACAGCGAGTAGGAGGCCGCTTGGCGCAGCGGAAGGCCAGCAGCGCCAGCGCAAAGCCGCCGCAGTCGCTGAGCATGTGTGTATGAAGCCGCCATCAACATGTCCTAGCAGCCAGCGCAAAGTCGCCTGCCTAACAACACCTTCTAATACGTTTTAGAAGCCTGTCCCTGCTATATAGGCGTAATAACTCACCAGCCCGTTGATAACCGTATGACATGCGTGAGTCAGGCGGCCGCTTGGCGCATCGGAAGGCCAGTAGCGCCAGCGCGAAGCCGCCGCAGTCGCTGAGCATGTAGTTCGAAGACGTCTGCCATCAATTGACACCTTCTAGGATGTTCCAGAAGCCTGTCCTTGATGTGTGGTTACGATAACCTGCCCGCTGGTAGCCGTATGACATGCGTGAGTCTGGCGGCCGCTTGGCGCAGCGGAAGGCTAGCAGCGCCAGCGTGAAGCCGCCACAGTCGCTGAGCATGTGTGTATGAAGCCGCCATCAACACGTCCTAGCAGCCAGCGCAAAGCCGCCTGCCTGACATATCCTAGGATATTCTAGAAGCATGTTCCTGCTGTATACGTGTAATGACTCACCAGCCCGTTGATAACCGTATGACATGCGTGAGTCTGGCGGCCGCTTGGCGCAGCAGAAGGCTAGCAGCGCCAGCGCGAAGCCGCTGTAGTCGCAGTAGTTTGAATCTGTCTGCCTGAGACCTAGGATGCTCTAGAAGCCTGTCCTTGCTATGTGATTCCTGCTGTGTAGGTGTAATAAATGACTCACCAGCCCGCTGGTAACCATATGACATGCGTGAGTCGTGCGGCCACTTGACGCAGCGTGAGCGCTATGTTGTCTGCCAGCAAATGTCATAACTTCGGGAGCTCTAAAGTATGTTCCTGCTGTGTAGGTGTAATGACTCACCGGCCCGTTGGTAACCATATGACATGCGTGAGTCGGGCGGCCGCTTGGCGCAGCGGAAGGCCAGCAGCGCCAGCGCGAAGCCGCCGCAGTCGTTGAGCATGTAGTTCGAAGACAGCTGCCATCAATTCACCTTCTAGGATGTTCTAGAAGCGTGTCCCTGCTGTGTGGTTACATTGACTAACCTGCCCGTTGATAACCGTATGACATGCGTGAGTCTGGCGGCCGCTTGGCGCAGCGGAAGGCCAGCAGCGCCAGCGCGAAGCCGCCGCAGTCGCTGAGCATATGCGCCGCGTCTGACATCACCGACAGGCTGCCGGCCAGGTAGCCGCCCACCAGCTCGCAGATCTGACAACGAGAAGTACGTGTGAGCGCCAAGAATGCCTCCATCATTATAGATAAGCGATGGGAGATCGGGATCAGATCATCAGGACAATTATAGTCTGGTCTGTGAGCACGTAGAATTTTGTCCAATGACCCTAAGCTACCCATCCTTATCGCTCGTGCGTAATTATGTTGCTATCGCGCTCGCACACTCACTGCGGGTGCCAGTCGCACAGTCGCGACGGCAATATAATTACGCGCGAGCGATAAGGATGTGTAGCTAGGGATCATTGCACAAAATTCTACGTGCTCACAGACCGGGCTTTAGTCTCCGTTGAGAATTCGGCTTACGGCTACACTCCTTGTTCTAAGCACAAACGAACTGAAGAGGCCTTATGTTGGTATAAATTTACTCCTTAGTCGCCTTTTACTATAGGGGCATTTCACGCGAAGCGGACAGCGAAAATCAAGTCAGGTTTTGGATTTTGTTCATATTTGGATTAAATGTACTGCTATATAATCTGAATGGATGTGCATCATTATTTTTTTTTTATGAAGCTTAGTTTATTTTTTATGAGCGTTCAAAAAATTGGTAAAATTTTAGGAACAGATTTTTCTGAAGCTATTACTGCTATTATTACATTTGATTAAAACCAAACTGACTATTGGACTTTAGAGAATAAATAACTGTGTTTCTTACTATTTACTACAAATTTGAAATTTCTTTTTTGTTCACATAGAAAACCGGAAGTAAAGTTTTAAAATCGAATTTTACAAAACTTCGGTATTTTTAATTTTTTTTATTTTTATTTTAAAACATACCTAGTAGTCTATAAATAACGTGTGTAAAGTTGTAGAATGGAGTCTGTATTGGTTTTTGATTTAGACGCAGTACAGTGCGAGCGCGCCGCAATGAGCGTCATACTGGCTATCGACATTTGGCTACTGTATAAAAATTATTTGTTCGAAAACAACTGAAACGTTAATATTGTTGCATGCATACTCTTAAACAATTATAATTTTGACTCGGCGAACTTCGTACCGTCTAACAGACAATGATTGTTGGCATTGAGATGGTGCGTATTACGTCGCGGACTACCCACATCACATCTTATTGAATAATACACTAAAAACATAATTCTTCTTTTTTAGGTAGTTGGCTCGCTACCTCCATATCAAATTTCATCAAAATCTGCCGAACCGTTCTTGACTTATAAATCGTGTAACTAACACGACTTTGTTTTATGTATAAAACAAAGAACGGCTGAACAGATTTTAATGAAATTTGGCATGAAGTTAACTGGCACCCCGGACTAACATATCCCGACTACCCAAAAAGAAGGGTAATGTTTTAATAGTATTATCCAATAAGTTGTGGGTGGTCTGCGACGTAATACCATCTCAATGCCAACAATCATTGTCTGTTAGACGGTACGAAGTTCGCCGAGTCAAAATTATAATTGTTTAAGAGTATGCATGCAACAATATTAACGTTTCAGTTGTTTTCGAACAAATAATTTTTATACAGTAGCCAAATGTCGATAGCCAGTATGACGCTCATTGCGGCGCGCTCGCACTGTACTGCGTCTAAATCAAAAACCAATACAGACTCCATTCTACAACTTTACACACGTTATTTATAGACTACTAGGTATGTTTTAAAATAAAAATAAAAAAAATTAAAAATACCGAAGTTTTGTAAAATTCGATTTTAAAACTTTACTTCCGGTTTTCTATGTGAACAAAAAAGAAATTTCAAATTTGTAGTAAATAGTAAGAAACACAGTTATTTATTCTCTAAAGTCCAATAGTCAGTTTGTTTTTAATCAAATGTAATAATAGCAGTAATAGCTTCAGAAAAATCTGTTCCTAAAATTTTACCAATTTTTTGAACGCTCATAAAAAATAAACTAAGCTTCATAAAAAAAAAATAATGATGCACATCCATTCAGATTATATAGCAGTACATTTAATCCAAATATGAACAAAATCCAAAACCTGACTTGATTTTCGCTGTCCGCTTCGCGTGAAATGCCCCTATATCCACAATATGAGTGAGAATCAATAATATTCTATTCAATCACAGGGCATATTGTGGCAACGCAACTCCGTTTTTCAAACCAATGTAAAATTTGAAATGATGATTGCCTCAGGAGGGAATTGCACCTTTCGTTTGCCACTGTGAGCTCACCAATTTTCAAGTGTATTTTAAGCTGTGAGCCAGCAGTCTTATCAATGTACGTATGCATATGTAATCCCCTTACAACCTAGATAATTATTAATGTCAAGCTGCACATCTACCGGCAGTATGCCAAGACTATAAAAAGAGGCGCCAAATAGTCTTACCATAAAGAACCCGCATAGCACCAGCGCTATGACCAGCTGTGGGACCGCACTGGGCGGCTCCGACTGCGGCTTCCAGTGGCAGTGCTCCGGCGCTTCTGACCCTGACGATACCGGCACATCCGTGTAGGTTTCCTGTGGAAGATAGAATATCACGTTCAGAAAAAAGACTCAAGTTTAGTCAGCTTCAATGAAAAAACAAGTTATAGGTCGCGCAAAGAGAGCTGAGGCCATAAACTCCAAGCAAAGACTTGCTTAGTAAAATGTATTATGCTGTCTGCGATGACGTCTTGCGTAATTGACTGACAAGTGCATCTGTCTCGGTTGCAGACATTTTACAAGAACAAGGTATCTAGTGTATTCGATATTTGAACTTTATTGTGTTGTGTTGTTACAAATATTACATCAGTGTGAACACTTCATCGCCTCAACTTTCATTGAGCCCACTATAATTAATTGTAGAAGTTATACCTAAATACATAGATTGAGTGAGGCCTCTGATTGGTTGAATTTCAAGTTTTAATTATAATTTTAGAAGAAATCACAGGACAAACTTTAACGAGATTGAACCTAGTTTTGAGCGTTGCTTTACAATACGGATCTTGACTTTCAAGACATCCAAGTCCAAGCGGGCGAATCGCTAACATAGAAGAGTAAACGACCAACGAAGGCGATCAAATAATGCACACTTGAAAAAGCAACGTTTTTATCTTCCCTAGATGACAACATGCCCTGCTTTCAATATTAATTTTATTTTTAACTGTCGTTAACGTGAAATGTTGAACATTGAAGGGCGCCAGACGCGCTGTTTCATGCTAATCGATGTTTCCACTTGGTTTATTATTCGAATGAATATTACACGTCGAAAATGTTACGATATTGCCTCCGAAATAATAGCATTATTTAGTGTATTTTTTATCGAAGACTCGTTAAAACATAATAAAACTAGGCGAAATTCGTACCGCCTTGTTCATCAGGAATAATGTAGGATACTAACGGTGAAAGATTTTTTCAAATCAGTACAATAGTTTTGGAGCCTATTCAATACCAACAAAAATCTTTCCTCATAATAGTGTAGAAATGTAAACAACATTTGCCAAGACTATTAATCTGGGGGAAATATTGAAAGTAAGCATAATGGAAATGTTTGATTTAAAATATAAAAGGTTATTTATAACATAAACGGCATAATCAGCCATAAAAACTAATAAATACAAAAGATAACAGCAAATGGACTGATTAATCCCAACTAATATTATAAATGCGAAAGTAACTCTGTCTGTCTGTCTGTCTGTCTGTCTGTCTGTCTGTTACGCTTTCCCGCTTAAACCTCGCAACCGATTTTGATGAAATTTGGCATAGAGATAGTTTGAGTCCCGGGAAAGAACATAGGATAGTTTTTATCCCGGTTTTTGAAACAGGGACGCGCGCGATAAAGTTTTTCTGTGACAGACAAAATTCCACGCGGGCGAAGCCGCGGGCGGAAAGCTAGTAAATTATAAGTTACGATAAAAATTGATCCTTACACATACTGTATACATACAGTGAATAAAGTTGATATATTTTATGTTTAAAATGCTCTCAAATATTTTACAATATCGCTGTAAGTCGTAATTAAAAACAATCAGTGAAATTGAGGAATTTTTCTAAACAATTTACCTACAAAAATCCTTTGTCGTTATGGTTTCTAAGCTCCAAAATCCTGTCAATTTAGGTCACCTTTTAAGTTTAACCCAAAAGCCAAAAAAAGCGTCAGTAGGTAGGATTAACATGAAGGATTATCTTTCATTAAATTAAAAGCCACTTCAATCTTTTTGAAAAATATGGTTGATATTTTAATTAACGTCTTTTTAATTAATTACTTTGGTTCACAGTCTTATTTGTGTAATCCCTACTATGTATTATTATATGCGAATGTAATTCAGTCTGTCTGTTACGCTTTCACGCCGGTTTTGATGTGGTATAGAGATAGTTTGAGTCCCGGAAAAGGACATCCTAGGATAAGTAATTTATCATCCATTTTTGAAACAGGGACGCGAGTAATAATTTTTTCATCATCATCATCAACAGCCCTTTACAGTCCACTGCTGGACTATGAGCCTCCTCCACTATGGTGGAGGGATTTGCCATAATCTCCACGCTTGGCAGGCGGGTTGGAGATCGCAGTTTAAAAGATTGATGTTTTTCAGAGAGCGCTGCTGCCCATTCTCTGTTTGTTGTGTAGTCCCTAAGTCGCCTCTTACGACACCCGCGGGAAGAGTAGGGGTTGGTGACAAATGTATTCTACTCTGCCGTCACCACACGGCACTACAANAATAATGATTGAAACATGATTTTCACTATTATTATTAATCGAAATATTCATACTAACCTGATAGTTGTAGTTTTATCCATATTTATTTATATTATTTAATTCACAAATCCACAAAATAACGACACTTATAAACCGTTGCACCGTTTGAATGACAGGAATGTCATGTCAGTTAGCGGAGTGAAGTGCGTAACATAAGCGAACCAATCACAGAACTCTATTCAACACTCTGATTTTTGCATAGTCAAGGGTCGTTTAAGTATTGTTTATGAATTGAAAGGCTTGTCATATGGAACGCATTGAGAAATGTCTCATTTCGCATAGCGTTGCTGCTTTGCATAGGTAAGTATCGTTTGTGAATACGGGTGTAAGGCTGGCTCTTACTTTAACTTTAACAAACGTCAAAAATCTGTCAAACTCCATACAAAAAGCACCGGTTATCGTCATAGTTACGGGTATATCGTTGTAAGGTAGCATCCCTATCGGTTTTCTACAGGCTACACTTCGGAGAATGTGCGAAAGAATTACACGAATTAATTCCACCAGCCCCCTTCCATCATCGGGGAACCAGACGCAGGTTAGCGTACCATCCCTATATTGTTGACATTCCACCAGCTCGCACTAAGCGTTTCGATGACTCTTTTATAATGCGAACAGCTAGGGACTGGAATTCGTTGCCTGCTGCTGTCTTTCCCGAAAACTATAATACGGGCCTCTTCAAAGCGAGAGTGAATAAGCACTTACAGGGCAGATATGTACCATCCTAGACTGCATCCCACTTAACATCAGGTGCGATTGTGGTCAAATACCTGCCTTGTTATGCATAAAAAAAAAAAGTTAGATGGTGCAACTCATTCTAAGTGATTTTACAGTTCGAGTAAGTATCCCATAATTATGTCCCAGATGAATCAAACCCAAAAATATCCCTATTATTCCGATTTGGATGAACAATCGAGATTATCCTGCTAAAAATAGAATCCAACTTATTATCCTGCTAAAACTTTTAAGTAGGTACAGTACACCTAATGCAAGGTAAACCGTGCAGAATTTTAAAACTGAAACAGCGTAGGCGAGTGAATATAGCTTAGAAAAGTTTTAAATCGAAATGTTTTATCCCTCTCTTTAAATGATAAGTAGAGTAGTAGAAGTATACGTTAAAACTTAAACTTTGGACCTGTTCCACTTTGATCCTGGACTTAATCACCCATGGATAAGAAGTAGGTACTCTTAGATCACCTAGGTGATCTTATCCATAGGTGATCAAAGGACACCAAAGTGTCGCCTGGTCGAAAAGACCAAACTTTGGTGGGTCCTTGACATCTGCTTCTCTCACTTTGTAATCACGATAACTGATCTCATCTCACTCGATTATTTCAAACGGTACCAATACTAGGTTACAGAATAAACTGGATCTATCCGAAAAATCAATGTTTCCACCTTCCTCTACTCTCCACAGCTAATAGCAGGATGACTGGTGTCTTTTTAATAACCCCTAAATAATATTTCAATGTAAGTATCCACACAAGCCAAACGCGCTCCATTTTTGGAGAGGTACAGTCGACGGCACATCCCAAATATTTGCTTCAAAATAGAACCAAAGTGTGGCAAACAATTTAAATTGAAATGCCCTCGTGGAAACAAAGGATTGCGCATCAATTAGGATTCCCAATCCCAGCACACATTAGGTTGTTTGGTCCAGCAGATTTGCGTTTTTGAGCCCGGATTTCGATCAGTTCAGACTCGCTTAGTATTCAAGCCCAAGAACATAGTTAGTGCAAATAAAATTTAGAAACTTTGTAATTAATTAGGTTTGCTACTGACACCAAACTTTCTACGTCAGTAGTGATTTAATTAAGTAATCATTTTTCTTTATTTGCTTACAGAAGTATCCATAAATCCTTCGGTAAATTTTAAACATCTCATTTCCATAACACGAAGTACTACTTATAATAATTAACACAGAGTATAGGTAACCTAATGTTGCTAAAATAAATGGTTATGACTGATTTTATTAATTTGTAGCTTTTAGCACCACATCTTTTTGTTGCAAGATCACTCTACAACAAAGGTACATAATCATGATGCCCAAGTATTTGACTGTATAACTGGGGCTGGGAAGCGTTTCCAGCTGTTACTACATATATTATTACACTTAATAATAACAATAAGAATTCGATAAATACGGAACTGTTCAGATCATGAATTAATTATCCCTCAAGACGTAAACAATCGCTAGATTTAGAAACAACTTTCGCTAGATAAACTCGTAAAACTTGGGAATAAGTACTTAAGTAAGTGCTAGGTAAGTAACTTTGCTTATGGAGTAAGAAGACTTATTTGTTTGCTTTGTCGCAAACAAGTCGACTGTATCATTTATCTTTTCATTCTGTTTCTGGAGATAAATAAAGAATGAGCTAGACGGGCGTCTAGTCACATCTGTAATGTGTAACTAGATATCCAGACTTGTCATTTTTCAATTTCAAACAAATATACAGGATGACTGGACAGGGCCGGATCTACTATATGGCTATTTGGGCTTCAGCCCAGGGTCCCGTGGATTCATCGCGCTGAACCTGTGAATTTACGTAAGAAAGAAAGAAAAAATGTTTGTTCAGTATCATCGACAATACAGTTACAACAATACTTAAAATTATTTACAATAATACTGAAAAGGTATGTACTCAGCATGGTGTCGTAGCATCTCAGTAGATAATGCGCTGACGCTGATCTTCCGTGGACACCCAGACAAGGAGAGCACTACAAATAACTAAGCACAACAATTGCTCATGATACATAATAATATTTAGGTATATCTTATAAAATACATTACATATTGCACACCTTATATTATTTAACTCT